AGCACTATACTGTTAATCTAACACCAAGCCTTAACTGCTGTTTTATTTTATTTTTTTTTTCATATTTTAGATTTCCTTCATTTTTCCTACTTTTACTAGGTTTGAATTTTCTTTGGCTTCATTTGCTAATTTTTATTGCCATATTTATGATTGCTATCTACCTCTAATTGTTGTCTTTACTTCCTTTTCCATAACGATCTTTTAATAAAATAGTGCTTTATATTATTTAAAATATTGATGTACACTTACCACACAATAAAATCTCCTGATACACACTCTGGCTTTTGTTAATATAGCTAAGTTTCTCCTCATACATTATTGGATTTTCATATTTCTTAACTAATATTTTTTTCCAGGTAACTAATCACACAGACATAGACAATTATCTGTATGCAATATCTAAACAAATGCATACACATAGGTAATGACTACTCAGCTGTAAACATGCGCACATGTAAAAGAGCTTGGCTGAGCCTGCACTCTGTCTGCCCTTGTTTGATGTAATTGGTTGTGACCACTGGTCTTCAGGCAAGAACAAGCTTCCAGCCTTGCGATCATTCCATCTTTACCCACCACACTCAGGTCTATGTGCAGGGCACCTATTTTGTGCTGGAAAATTATTGACAGTAATTCCTGAAAACTCTAATGCAGTCTTACCACTGTCTTCACGAGACTTCCATTCTCCATAAGTCAATGATGACAACACCGTTTTTATTTTCACATATTATTGACGGGCACTTAAGGGCTTATTTGCTTTTTTTTATGCCCTTTAAAAAAAGCATTTTGCTTTTATCCTTCATGATTTAATGTTTTCCATACATTATTCATATTTACATTGTCAGACTGTAAGTTCGTGTGTGATTTACCAGAAAAACTACAGTTTTAGTCCCTGATTGATTTTCTTTCATAGCTTTTGTACTTAATTATCATACAGAAGTTAGTGACATTTTATCACATTGTATTATTAATGCAGTGTTAGAAATTAAACTTGGATATAACTGAGATCTAAATCTTAACCAAGCAACACCAAAAATAACCCAGCAACAGACAAAATTGGAGTTCAGCCAATGTCAAGGTGTTACAATTTTCCTCCTGTTTTATTTGATGCTAAAGATAAACAGTAACTGACAAAGGAAATTTCATTGATTTGATTCTGGCTGCCAAGATTTCACATATGCTGGAACATATTTTGTTGCGGTTTCTGTAAAAATGCATAGTGCTTTTTGATTTTTGTTAATGCTGTTGTTTTACCTAAGACAAAATACAATTCTTCTTACATTTGCTTTTATTGTTTATCAGTAGGTAGCATAGGAGTAAATAGAAAATGCACAGGAAATATTGCTATCCTTCTGCTGCCGTTACATGTTTGATTTGGCGAGTTAATAACATGACTGTCAAAGCTGTTTATATTTAAATGTTCAGTGGAGATAATCATCACTGTAGATTCTGGGTCCAGAAAAGGGTGATATCTTCCTTCAGAAGCAAATCTGTGATGGAAATTTCCATGAAAATCACTTGACAGAAGATTACGAGTTTTACTGCAGGCCAGACACAAACCGAAAGATACTGAACATGCAGATGCTTTCATCTTGGAGTTGCCAAATCTACTGCCTTTCCTTTTTTATTTCTTACTCAAAAGTGGGTCATACTTGATTTTGCTTCAGTAAAAAATATTTAAGTTACAGAAAATGCATTGAATAGTGGAAAATATACAATTATCCTGAGACATGCACAGATGTCTTCAGTCAGTCTTTCTAACTGAGTAATATTCAGATTTGCTCAATATTTAATTTCCTTAATATTAAAAACAACAATTTTTCATAATAGATAACACTGCCCCAAAGATACTGGAATACATTCTAACTGTACTTAATATAGCATATACAACTTTTAGCCCAATGAGAAAAACCTAGAGAGATTCCAATTAATTTATTTGCATTACCAAATGTGTTACAAATTTTCCAATACTTGTAGAAATAACTGGGAATACTACTACTGTTCTTCAAGTGTTCACATAACTGGGGACACCTAGAAGAAATCTGGTTTAATTTAGCTCATCACAGGCAAAAATAACCTGTTTCTTTAGTAGGTTGCTTTGATAGTTGTATTAAGGCCACTGTGTGATGTTTGCAGGTGTTCAGCTCCTACCAGGATTTTCTCCTGGGTCTTTCAAAGTCATCCAGCAGTCATTTCCACCAAGAGTAGAAAAGCTCCATGCATGGGGACACATCTGTGAGAGAACATGGCAAGAATAATCACAGCTTTGTTTCTATAGCTCAGCACTCTTTCACCACTTTAGCTTCCTCTGAAACTATCCACTGATGGGGAATGTGGGCTCATGTATATTGGCTAGCAATTGCTAACACAAGGATATGCCTCATGGCTTCCATTGCCCTACGTTATTTGCCACAGACATCCTCAGTGTTGCTATCACTAGAATACCAGGTAAAGAAATAGGATACAAACAGATAAAACAGAAAATCAAGGCCTTTCATAACCTTTATTAAGAGAGACAGCAAAAAGACATTTCTCTGAAATACCTACTGTAATTGTCTATATATTTTTTAGCCATCATGTATTTCCCTTTTTTTTTTTCTTTGACAGTGATACTTGAGGGTCCATCATGCTAGCAACAATCAATTTGGACCATTGCTGTCCACATCTGAGACAATACCATCTCCAGTGCTAATGGAAATTTGTTTTAGATAGTAACAGTTATCTGATTTATCAGTGTTGAGATAAACTACTGCTGCCTACCACGATTTCAAGAAAATTGTGGATTACACTTGTGCTTAATTAGTAGTTAATATAGCATCACTGCAAGCTTTCTAATTCAGAAAAAGTCACAGCATCACAGAATGGCTGGGGTTGGAGGAGACCTCTGGAAGTCACCTGCTGCACCACCCTGCTCAAGTAGTGCCACCCAGAGCAGGTGGCCCCGGCCCATTTCCATGCAGCTTTGGAAGATCTCCAAAGTGATCATCAAAAAGATCAAGAAGATCCACAGCCTGTCTTGGCAACCTGTGCCAGTGCTCCATCACCCACATGTAAAGTGCTTCTTGGTGATCAGAGCAAGCCTCCTCTCCTGTGTGCCAATTTGTGCCCATGGCCTCTTGCCCTGGCACTGGCCACCTCTGAACAGAGCCTGGCTCCATCCTCTTGTCAGTTATTCACAAACCTCAATGAGATCCACCTGAGCCTCCTGTTCTCCAGGCTGAGTTTTCCCAGCTCTCTCAGCCTCTCCTTAAAGGAGAGGTGCTCAGCCCTGCAGCCTCCAGCCCACCCTGGGTGTCCCCATCCCAGCCCCAGACATCTCCTGCCTGGCTTGGGTGAGGCAGATTTTCTCTGAGGTAACAGGGCCATTTGGGGTCAGTGGTAGGGAAATGGTTTGGAGTGCAGACACCTGGACTGGATAGAGAGGCCTGAGGAAAAAAAATAAATAAATAATGGAGGGAGATGGGGAAAAACCTACTTTGAATTGACCAGGTAATTGTTGTCATAGGTAATTTCCAGATATGTAAGGGTAATAACACTGCACGCTTGCCTATGAGGACAGAGTACAGGTAAGCAGCTCTGGATTCATTTAACATTGAATTACATTGAGCAAGTTGTGTTTGCTTCTCCGCTGACTGCAGAGAGAAGGTGCACCCACGCATTTTTCCTGTTAAATACCAAGAAATAAGTCTAGATTCATCCAGATAAGTGTTATTTGCTTAAGGTCTTCCCTCCATTCAGCATTGGTGAGGCCACACCTGGAGTGTGTGGAGGTCCAGTTCTGGGCTCCCCAGTACAAGAGAGACATGGAGCCACTGGGGTGAGTCCAGTGAAGGGCCATGAAGATGAGGAAGGCACTGGAGCACCTCTCCCATGAGGACAGGCTGAGAGCTGAGACTGTCCAGCCTGGAGAAATGTTGGTTTGGGGATCTCATCAGTGTCTATAAATACCTGAAGGGAGGCTGCAAAGGGGATGGAGCCAGGCTCTTGTCAGCAGAATCATCTGCTACTGACTCCCTTTACAGTCGTGGCCTCTGACACAAACATCTTTCTGGTGATAATAGTCAGAAGTTAGGCTCAAGCCAGTGTTTAGGAATAATTTCCAAAAACTGTAACAGGCATCCTACTGTGTTCCTGTGCCCCTTCTTGGTTTCCAGGGCCACTTGTTTGTGCCAGAAATTACAGGCAACTTTGCAGAGTTCCTTCTATATAGAAATGCAGCTTAAGAAACAGCACCTTTTCCACTATTCATCTGGGAAGGCTTGCTTTTACTATTTATTCCAGCCACAGTTCCTGGAAAATTATGTGCTTCTGGGCTGTGACATGCACACATCTGTATGCCTAAAAATGCAGCTATTTACAACACCCTCAGTATCTTCAAGAACTAGTAGTGTATTAGCTTTTATTGGATTTGAGAAGTGTCCATGCAGCCTCTAATAGAGCCTTGATTCAGTTATTTGGAGGCCATACAGAAGGAGAAAAAGTGGGGCTTTATAGTTCAGGGAAAATATCCTGAGAGGCTCAGTTTTAATTTTTCTTCCTGAACTGTTTTTTTTTTTATTATTATTTATTTATTTATTACCTCTAGGTATGCAATGAGCAAATACAGAAGAGAGATACACTGAGTTAAGGGTGGAAAATTTTTCATTGGTGGTCCTGAAATTCATTCTAATTGTTTTTACAGTCAATAGAACAAATCACTGACCAATAACAAAAGACTATGTGTGTATAGTACATGGATGCAAGTGTTCTTTCATCTTTCCTTGTATCCTTTACATTACCTTTTTTTTTTTTGTGTGTGTTTTAGGGGGAGGGTGAACAAATTGACAAGGGTAATCTGATTTTGTTTTGTGACATTAAATGGGGAAAGCCCTCAGACAGCATGAGTGAACCTTGTACAGGGTATTTAGAGAAGACTATTTCATTTGGCGGAAAACAAGGAAACCTTTTCAACCCTGTCTAAAGTACAGGACTAATCCAAGTTAAAACCTGCCCATGGGCAAACCATGTATAACAATTCAGTTTATCCTTGGACAGAGAGCATGTTGGGTCTTGGCTGTACTCTCTTTGCACTTTGTGTAATCATTTATACTCCTGCGAGGTAATTGCAAAATACCACCTTCTGTCTGACTTGGGATTTGACAGGGCTCCATGGAGCTATTTGAAGAAGGCTTCCAAAGAAGAGATCACATCTGGAATCCTCCTGGAGGTGGATCACAGGCTGTTAGACATGTTAGAAATGCTGTTGTAGACTTCACTGGCAGACGAGCTTTGGAAAGCTGTTTTATAGTGGCTTTAGGTTTTGCCTCAGCTTCCAGCTTCACTTCTCTGCTGGAGTGGCTGTGTACACAGCAGGGCTGGCAGGAGGAAGGCAGACTTGTGACTGTGCAGCTCTAGTGCAAAGATCAGCATTTTAGCTTTAACTGCGAAAGCAAGTGGACTTGCACTAAAACACCAAACTGAGTAGGAGTATCTGAGAGAGAAGCACTTGAAACCTTTTGCTGCTTTAGAAGGTGGGGAGAGGTGACAGAAGGTGGATGATCTTCAGCACAGGGGCAGCACAGGCAGGTGAGAGTGGCGGCATCTTAAATTGACTCAACATGACCACTGGTACTGGCTAGTTTGTGTACGTGGCAAATGGGCACATTGATTTATGGCTTTAGGTGGCTGCCTTCTGAAAGCTATTGCATTTAAATCTTCAAGCAGAACTACCTAAACCGGAGATGCTCCTGCTTTTTACTTTCTAACCTGGTTCTGTGCAATGCCAACATCTTACTGGAGCACACGTGAAGAATTATCGCAGAGGTATAAGGACTTCTGCCACCACCCTGCTCATCTGTTCGTCGATCCCACACTCATCCAGGTTGAACAATGTACTCGCTGCTGATTGCAGTCTGACATAATAGCATCTTCTAGCTCTACCAAAGCCAGGGCGGCTGGCAGTCAGTGTGCATGCTTGCCTTTGTCTTTCCATGCAGCCCCAGGCTGCGACAGTCCCTGAGACCCCTCTGATGCCTATCTTGACTTGATACAAATCACCTTGACAATTACTGCAAGAATTGTCTCCTGTCCCATTAGCACTGGGGCTCTCCAATGGTGCTCAGATAGTGAAAAGCAGTAATGTCTTAAATCTCTACAGGAAGACTTGCCAAAGCTCATCTGTCATGTCCATAACTTACAAAAAGCTTTCTAAAAGCAGCTGCAGTAACCAGTTCCACAGCCGCTGCAGGAACAATACCTGGAGTCTTCTTAACAGCATTTCATAAGAAGAACAAATATCCTGTAATGTTACACTGGAATTGTCATTATGTGGTGCAAAATTTTGATTTGTTTTTATATATACTCAATGATTTGAAGCGTGTTTTGGGGTGACTATAACGTTTGGTTTTGTTTCTTTCTATATAGATTCTGTCACTCCTTTATTTCTGTAAGTTTAAAGAATAATGCATGGACATGCCCTTACTGCCATGTTTAATATCCTTCTGAAAAATTTCCAGCTCCTGATAGTGCCAAGAAAATGAAGAAAATATACCAAAATTGCTCCCAATGTCAAACACAGGTTTGCAACCTTGAACTAATTACTAAATAATTCCAGAGATTTACCCATGCACAAGAACCAAACATTATTATGACTCCTTTTAAAGCAAGTCTAAACAGAGAATCTCCACCAGCATGATGACGGAAGAATAAATGTTGTGATTTTTGCTAGACTTACCAAGATCCTTATCTAAAAGTGCTCTAAAGCATACCGCCAATGCCACTGCAAATATTAAGCTCAAGCCTAAGCTTACAGGAAATGAATCTTCTTGACTTCATTAGCTTGGCTGGAGAAAGGGCAAATGGCTTTTTTTAATACTCCAATTGCCCAATTGTAAAAATCCTGAATCTGCTAAAATTGTGAATCTGCTAAAATTGTGAATCTGCTAAAATTGGGAATAATGATATAGAATGTTGTGATTATTTTTTAATTTATTATTTTTATTCCCACCTTTCTGTAAAGCTACCTACACTGAGCCTTTTCTCTTAAGGCCTGTGAAACTTCATTTACTCATGCAAACAAAGTTGAAAATGCTGCTCTTTGAACTGGAAAATAACAGGTTCATCAAAATGAGGTGCAGACCAGAAATGTAAAGATGACTTTGTGGTGGAGGACAGGGCATACATCAATAGGAAAAACAGTTAACTGAGATTTAATTCACACTCTTATTTTTATGCCTGGGCTCTTTTGTGGGAGGAGATTGTGCAGCTTACATCTTACTTCCTCTTTTTTTTTTTTTCTCTGACTGGATTCATGTCTGGCTTTTATCATTTCCTTTGTCTTGCTAACTGCGAAACAATACCCTTCAATCTTTCTCATCTGTCAGCAGCAGTGTGAAAATAATGCAAAACGTAAACCAGCAAGTAAACATGTGAACTTCAGGAAGACTGCTATTTCTAGGGTTGTGGGGAATAACAGAGAGCATAAGGAGAGCAGCAAAAATGTGGAGTTTGTTTGTTTGTTTGTTTTGTTATTAACACTGTTGGTTCTTTACCATGGATTTTGTAACAGGGAAAGATTTGTTTAAAACTAAGAATGAAATGCATGAACTCCAATACCTTGATATCAACAGTAGTTAAATATTGACTTTGCTTTCAATGCTTTAAAAATCAGGTTTGGCAGAACCACACAAATGTAACAGGGGGGTTAGGAAGTGCTGAGCCCTGTATCGCTTAGCTGAGCTTCTCTGTACTTGGTAGAGTTTGAGCACTGCTTTTCACTGGTCAGTGGTAGAGTGTAACAAGTGACCTGAGTATGGATATTTGCAGTGGTTCATAATCTTTATTATGGCTGCAGATAGTGTTGGCTGTATTTCTTGTGTAAAGCCAACAGTGAGGCCACTAAGGTACGTTGAAATGGAGAGTGCATTTAATAGCATCAAGGTACCTCTGCGTATTGTTTCTGATATTTGGCAGACTACCCTTGGCAAATGCTCATGTGTTGTCTCAGACATATCAGCACAGGGACTGCTGTTTTGGTATAAACCTAATTTCATTTGCAGTTTCCGCGTGGAGAATGGAAACTGCAATTAAGTGACTGAGGCAAGAGCATGTTTCATTCTGCTGCATCTGGAGTCAGAATGATTATCCGTAGTGAGGAGATGGCACAAGCATGTGGGTCAGGGTTATTTGAAACTTCTTCATCGAGATTCAGCAAGGCCATTCATTAATGTTTAAAGGTTATAAATATAGAATAACAATATTATACTTAATATTTATTATCTCAGCAAGGTGAGTATGCATAATTTCATATTGTTTCTCTTCATGGGAAATACCTCATGACTGTGTTTCAAAGATTTGTTATATAGAGGTTCTGAGTTAAAGGAAACAGGAGAGCTTATAGCAGCAGCAATAAAAAACTTCACTGAGGTCAGAACTGGGCTTTTGCTTTGGAAAACTTTTGGTTTTAACGGAGTTGGTCTAGATTTTCACCATTAAAAACAGAGGAAGATGTGAAACGGGAGCTCTCAGCAAGCTAGAAAGGTATCCCTACTGCCTCCCAAATTTCATTCCAAAATATTAAGGGCCAACGTAAGGAACAAATAAAATCACCACAAACTAAAAATTATTTCTGTCTAACTCCCTTTAGCCTCTTAAGCTGAATGCTATTATTAGAAAATATATTTGAATAACACTGAACCAATAGCATAATGCTTGAGGAATTGCAGTAGTAGAAGGAAATGAATATTCTTCCCTAGGTACAGCCACAATAATGCTTTGAACCAAAAAAACATTCAGAGCAATGCATGAATAGCACATGGTATAAAACTTAACAAGCTGCTGCTTCTCATTTCTTTGGTATGTCTGAGTAAAATTAGAGTTCATTGGAGAACTTGTGAACAATGTATAGAAAAATATGGACCTGTACAGGAGCTTGGAGATGCTGTAACAAGATGAAGACATTGCAAAAGTGCTTTTGAGTTTATTATCCCATATAGTAAAGTCAAACTGGCAGAAGAATTCTCTATTTTTTTATTTATTTTAATTTTTATTAGAACTTATTTGTGTTTTGTAGAATTCAAGATGAACTACTAGTATTTTAAAATCATAATATTTAAATGGTATTTAAAATGGATGTTATTTCTAACATATGATCCCAAAACAATACATTTTGTTTGCGGTTGTTACGTTTTTTTTCATAGAACTTAGGTGTGACCTGTTTTGTAGAAACAACCGTGTTTTGGCAAGTCAGTAGCCTTTTGTTATTTTTCTTGGGAAAAAATAGGCTTGCTTTCAAAATGTCCTTGAAAATGTTAGTTATTTCCAGAGTGAATAAGACATTAATAACGTAAATGCAATTGGTTCACTTCTAATAATCCGTTCCTCAGAAGTAGTTTTCAAGTATAACCACTGTTAGTAAGCAAATACTGAGAGATTGGTGGAATTCCCTATAGAAGACTGACAGCTTTTCTTATTTACATATTTATAGCATACATTTTTATAAAACGTATGTATATATATTTATATACACACATGTATGTCGAAAGTTCAGATTTTTTGTCCCATTCATTCTCTTTCAGGGTAAGACCTGTTAGAGCAGGTCAGACATGTAATAATCCTAGAGTGATTGAGTGATTGAGGTCTTGAAGTTCAAAGGGCTTTAGTTTTGTCTATTATATATTTGGAGCAATTTTGACATCATCATTAAACTGTTTTTCTGATTTATAGAATTCAAAGTCCTTATATTTTTTTGTTATTTGAATTCTTAAATGATACTTTATTTAGGTTGCTAGCTAAGAAAACATATCTGCTCTTCAGTTACTGCTCTTTTGATACTCAGAAAATCTTGAGGTTTAATCCACACACATTTTGCAATTTCAGTAACCTGAAAACAGTGCCTCCACCAAGAAACAGAATCATATTTTTTACAGAAAATGACATAGAAATCCTCTGAGAGGAAGTGTTGATGCTTAATATGGGCTCCTGGGAATTGGTAGTTTGGTCACACGTGCTCCGAGTGTATCACAGCAATTAAATGATGCATTTGTCAAATGTCTATAGTTGTAGTATTCAGTATTTTCACCCATTCTTTACTAATGTCATGGTTCAGAATGCTTTTTTGGATCAACATCCTGATATGCTGGCACAATGTACATTAGCAAAGTTGACCTTTAGCCAACATAGCATACGTCACACCTAGCTACACGTCATACACCCATGCTACATTTTAGCGATGGCAAAAGAAACGTATAATGATATCTTGCCAAAGAAGTCTAAACACATTTGTTATTACTTGTACTACTAAAAATGTATCTTGTATCTGCTGCCACTAACACTATCCTACCTCTTATTTCCAGATATTCTTGTCCTTTATGTCAGTGTGACACAGATGAGGATGATCTAATGGATCTTTATCTCACTGCACATCAGAAAGGAGAGCAGTGGTAATGTGCATATGTAGATATTTTACTGTATTCACATGCTAGACTGATTAATTCTAGCAACCATTACTGATAGGAGAAAATAGACAAGCATAAATATATTAATTACTTAATCCTTTTACACAGTGCAGGAAAACCACACCTATCTTTTCCCTTTCCCCTGCTGTCACAGACAAGCGTGGATGCACATAATATTTAAAATATTTACTTACAGCCAATACAATGAGTATTATTAGCTACAGTGACTTGTGTGCTTTAAAATCACGTGTGTGCTATTTCTCTCTAGTGACCTAACTCAGTTTCCTGTGCAGCATTTGCTGTGCATGCTAATCTGGGTTTTGGGGTTATAATTTGAGAACTGCTTATGTATGGAGTCTTTCATAGTTGTTTTTTTTTGTTTGTTTGTTTGTTTTTTTTTAAAGGTTGAGATAGCTTCACATAAATAGCTTAATTCTGAATGTTTATGAAGGCTGAAAGGTCTTATTGTGACTGTCTTTGTAGGATTGAGGCCAACTGAGAGTACAGACTCATCTCAACAAGCATGGGGGTTATTTTTTACTAATTTATTATTGGGATGATAAACAAATGGATGATAAACAAATGGATAAACAAATGGTTTGGGTGACAAACAAATGTTGTTTGGTATAAAACAAAAGCATTTGCATGTCTAATCTCTTGTTAGCTAGAGGAAGTAAATACATTAGCCATAAAATGTAGAGAACAGCAATCCCTGGGATGTCTGGAGGCACAAATTACACAGCTGAGTTTAGCATAATTGATGTTGACCTGAAAGTGCATTGTCCCTAGCAGTATTCACGTTGCTCAGAGAATGCCATTTGGCCATAACAGACCCACTTATTTTACATTTGTGTTTTTTAAACAGTGACATGTTCTTTTGTAAGAACTCCAAGGTGGAAATTGAATACTTCCTTCCATTTATTTAGAGTGTTGTCCAATTTATTGTTTAACACCTGGGACAGATCCAAGTAATTTAAGCAGAAATTTTATAAGGCATCTTCAACCAAAATATATATTCCATTATGAAGGCTACATAGTGAGTCTTCGTATTTTGAAGCTACTGGGCTTCATTTCTGTATGTATATCTTACCTTTTGCAAACAAGAGGTCATGAAAAGTACTGAGCAGATAACTGCACCATGAAGTCAAAAAGTGTGGCAGATGCTTACAGAGATAGCATAGTCAGGTACTCACAGATACCAAGATACGGTTTCTGTCCTCTGTTCTGTTGTTGCCTAATGGTGTGGCAAGGCAAAGGTTCTTGATTATCTCATTTCTTAAACAAGTACGAATATTACTTGTGTTTATAAAGTATTTGGAGATCCTCAAATGAAGCCCTACATAGTTGAAATGAAACTTGTTTAAACAATCCATTTGTATTCTGTAAGAACCAAACATGACACAGTTGTACTTGAATTAAGAAAGGAGTTTCAGCTGTTGGCTGCACGGGCTGTAAGATAGAAAATGCATCACAACCATTAACATGCTCTTAAAATTTCTCAAGAATATTAGTTAATGCTTCCCTATATTTGTGTTTGATACTCATGTAAACAAAATGCCAAAGGAAGAGATAAATATTTTATTTTAAAATGAGGCAAAAGCATTAAATAAAATGATGTCCAAGTGGAGGGCAGAAGTGAAGAACCGTTTTAATACTTTGAACCTATAATTAAAGCACATAACAGAAGCAGAACTATGTATGATAGCATTTTAATGATAGCTCGCATGACTTGAGTATTTATTTATATACACAATAATATAACATGCATCACCAAATTGGACTCTAACAAATAGCGTTAGCATTGTTTGCTTTTGCAGAATCACTTAATCCATGTGTTTCTGCAGTTGACATTCTCATTTATTTCAAGTTGCATAATGATTTGTCTTGCTCTGTGTTGCATTGCTTACGCCTACAGAGCAGAAAGTTAGACAGTAAACTTTGAACATGAATGTAAACCCATTGACACCAGTATTTTGTTGACTGGTAACCCAAACAGTCAAAATGAAATATGTTAAAACATTAATTAGGAGTATCTTTCAATATGATATCCCTTTATTCTTTATTTCTAAACAATGTCAGAGTAGTTCTTTTTGAAAGTGTGCTGGATGGGTCATTCTCAGAATATGTGTGTGTCAATACTCTAAGCAGCACATAAAGAGTACTGAATAGCAGTGGAAGAACATGTTCTGTAGATAAAAATGGAAAATAACATTTATCCTTTTGCAATTAATGGTGTGTTAGCAACTTGCTTAGACCTAAAAATGTTGGTTTTCTTTTTTCCTTAAACATTGTTTTGTCTCTAAATCGATTTCTTAAATTAAATTTCAATTTTGTAAAAAAAAAAATAAAAAAATCTGTAAGGATAAAAAGAAATATTGTCAGCTTCTTTACAGAAAACAAATGGTTATGAACTCATTGATAGTCCAATATACAGATACACTGGCTTTTACAGTGACCTCACCTATCTATTTGCAACACCATTCAAGGAGCAGGCTGGTCTTTTGGATATTGATGGTGACAATGCAATGCTGGAGGTAGATGACAAACAACAGCTTTTCAGATGCTATAGCACTAAACAAAGCAGAAAAAAAAAAAGTATCAGGCATACTACCTACTGTCAAGAACAGCATTGCTGACCCTGTAAGCATGTACACGAGTTTCCATTTCCAGCATATGAAAGATAAGGCTCACAACTTGCAAGGTAAGTAAGTGAAAAACATCTTGAAAGAATAGCAAGAAGTGAATATTTGATTAGAAAATAGAAATCCATTCAAGATATTGACAGGGCAATAAGACTATAAGATTAATAACACTCTTTTTATATGTGCACTTTAACATAGTATCTTTCACAGATGCAGTTGACCTGTAAGACATTAAAATTCATGTTCACACACAGAAGCATGTATAGTGATTAAAGTAGCTCAGTGGTAATATGTTAACAAGGAAAAGCCTGGCAGGCTTTAGGTCCTTGCAAGTTCTTCTTGAAATCAGAAAGGGACTCTTTCTGGGCAGAGAAAGATTCAACATTTCATGAGTTTGAGAAATTTATTTCCCTTTCCCTTTGAGAACTGTCCTTGGGTGTGAAAACTTCCCAGTCAGAAAGATGGACAGTGCTGCTCCAAAGCACGAACATTGTGGGAACCAAAAAAAAAGTCTGTTCTAGAAGCAAAGTAGTCAGATTGATTGGTATATAAATTATTGGACTTATAGCTTCTACACATCGAAAAAAAATGTATGGAGAATTATGTATGGAGAATTCTTTGTATGTAGGAATTAAGTTCCCTCTGGAGGAATGTTCTTTTTAATTTTGTCAGAGTCTGCAAGCATTCTTTGTAGGTAGTAATACAGAGACAGCTGGCAAAAGAAAAGGATTTGCACATGGCACCTCCTGATCACTGTGCAGCTACACAGTTTTCTCTTTCCCCTCCTGCTTATATGTCTTGTCTCTGACAGCTCCCACAGAACTCCAGATAGCTGCCCTTTTCATACTGACAAGGAGATGCACTGTTGCAGCAGCAACATTGCCAGGAAAGCAAAGAAAATAATAGTTACACAAAGCAACATCTATACAAAAAGTAGTTGTACAAAGTTGTAAAACAGCTGTGCAAAGGTGGTTTAAAACATACCTTTTCAGTGAGAGTTGCCCCCAGCAAACTGCAAAATTTTATGAGCAATTCTATAAGTTTTCACCGTCAAAATTTCATTTCACAAACACACTTTATCTTGAGGAATAAAAAGTTGGCAGGATCATTGATTTCATTTAATCTAAAAATTCTGATTTAAAATGCTTTCCTTCAAATAAATGTGTTTCATAAACTTCAGCTGCCTGATTTCTTTTTACATGTTGTCTACGTCAATGGCAAAAACTACGTAAGATTTACAAGGCTGGTGCCATGCTATATATCGCTCCGTGGCATACTAGTTGTCTACTCCAAGGTCACAGCTTTATTAAAGGATCGAGATTTACAATAATGTTAGCAGCAGCATGAATGCCTTCGGACACGTCTTCCTGTAGTTTACTTCTCTGAGGTCACCAGCACAATTTCTCCCCCTGCCAAAAGCTACTGATCAATAAATACTGCGGTCTCCTGAACAAAGTTCAAATGGACCTATCATGTTCCTTTAGTAATAAATCTTTGCTTTTGTTTAACACCTGCCTTCAGAGAACGTAACCCTCTTTACCTGTGGTAATTAATTTACCTTCACATCAGACTTATTTGGTGATTAAAAGCTCTTCCCCTTTTACAGATTGAGGAATTGAGGCCTGATGACATGCTTACCTGAAGTCCTACAGGGAAACCAAAAAGGCTGGGAGGCCCATGGCTGTGTGGAAGCCTCACCTGCTGAGGCTGAAGGCCATGCTACCTCCCTCCCAGCAAATAACACATGGCAGCTCTGTAGAGCCTAAACTGGGCCTTCTGTAACTCTTCCTGTTTAATGTAGCTTCATGGCATGAGTAAGGCCTATCTCAATTTGGCTATGCAGCTGTGTACAGCCCAAACAGGTGCACAGAGACATATAAAAAAATGTTCTGCAGGCTCTTTACCACTCAAGGTGTAGTTGGGTGTCTTCTTCTGGCTGTTCTTATACTACAGAAGAGGTCACTGCCACCAACTGCTGTTTCCTCTGGTTCCCTCTTTCCTCTCCAAGCCATGGGCCCAGATGAGAACAGGGGCATTGCCTCTTACTGCTGATGACCAAAAGATACAACATAAATAGCTCCGATGGATGTCTGAAGCCTAAATTGTTTTGAAGAGCTAGAGGCATATGTGAACCACAAGGCTTAGTGTTTTGTACTCTCTCTTCCCTAAAAATTTAATCACAGGCTAGAGAGAGCTCCTACCTAGCAATTTCTTCTAGACATCTACTTGTGGTAGAGACAGCTGCAGTCCCAAGGAGAAAAGGAACATGAAGGTGAAGGGAACATTTATCTTCAGCCCAGAGAGACCAGGCCCAACCTGAATCTTAGTTTTATTACAAACTAATGTAATATCTACAAATTAATATATTCTCAAACAAATACAATCTCCATTAATCTGTTTCTTTTTTAAAACATTGCCAGCATTTTGTTTGCTGTTTATCTGCCAAAAGTTATGTTCAGAGGAGGTCAGTGCTAGATGGGCTTAGCAGGTCCAAAGTCTTCTCAATACAGAGTAATTTGTTGGCATAGCTGTATCACTATAATTATATTCTTACAACTTGTTATTGTGGAATAAATAACAACTGCTGGCTTACTGCTAGAAGTTTCTGTCAGTATGATTCAGTAAGTAGAAATTGTGACCTAAATATTACTAATACCAGTAAAACTACACATAGAAATACTGCTAGTGTTAGTAAATCTATCTATCTATCTATCTATCTATCTATCTATCTATCTATCTATCTATTTTGTACTTGCCATTTATTTTTTTCCTATCACAAGAAATTAATTCTTAGACATAACACAGCTTTTTTACTTTTTTTTTTTTTATAATGATGGGTATGTGTATATGGAAAGCACTCCGTACATGAAGTAAAGTATCACAGAAAGTAAGTAACTAATTTTTGGTTATCCTGATGGTCTTTCTTGCTCACAACTAAAGAGCTGATGTGTTTCTCGTGCAGGATGACATCCAGATGGCCACAGTGAGGGGTCAGGTGCATTCCTGAATAGCCCGTATGAGGCCGCATGGGGCCATCTTTCTATAAGCCATCTTCTGAACCCTGTTCTGCAGCTGATGCTGCTGGCGCAGTCCCCTCAGCACTAGGCAGTGTGTTCCACCAGCAGTGCCTTACAGCGGAGCAAAGGGCACACGCATAGTTTTTGTTTTGCGTAGGCTACAAGTTTCATTAGGCAGAGGTATTAGCAAAAGCCAGCTTTGTCAATACACAATGCTGAACCAGCTGCAGAACATTCAATACCTCAAGAGTTTCCTAACACAAAGTCCCAAATTTATTAGCGCTGGTCAGCATAACTGGAAAACGTTCACCTAGTTAATAATTGAAGCTCCTGAATGTTATGACATGGATGAAATGTCTGCACTTAGCTGGGTTGGCTGTGGGTTTTTATTATCTCCCGGAGACTCAGGGTGCCCATACAAGACCTGCAGCACTTCCCCTCGCTACTTGGGGGGCCAGCACTCGCTTTATGCTTTTCCACATCGCTGTTTGCAGCCGCCCCGTACTCAAAACAGAGGTGAGGACAGGGACATGAGGCTCGCAGCGGGTGGACGCGTGGGCGGCACAACCTTCTCCTGCCAGGAGCACCCCAGGGGCCCAAGCCCACGGCCACAGCGGGGCCCGGCGGAGCCCCCTGGCGGCGGGCACCACAGCCCGGGCACCCTGGGTGGGGGGGGAGCCGCACGCCCTGGGGACACGGGCGCCGTCCCCAAGCCCGGGGCCGGGAAGGGGCCGGCAGCGGCGGTGGGCGCGGGGCGAGAGGTGAAGGGTGAAGGGGCGGCCGTGCCGTGCCGTGCCGTGCCGGGCGGAGCGGGGCGAGGCGAGGCGAGGCGGCCCCGCCGTGTCACAAGAGTCCCGCCGGGCCGGGAGGCGATCGCCATGGAAACCCAGGCCCGCCCCAGGCCCCGGTCCCGCCCCTGTCCCCCGGGCGAAGCCGTGGTGGTGGCGGCGGAGGCGGCAGCAGCGGGGCCTGGGCGCAGCGTGGAGCCCGGCCGGGCGAGCCGCGGCTGAGCCGCCCGCAGGCTGCGCGGAGGGGGCGAGGGCGGCGGCTGCAGCGGCGGGGAGCGGCGCGGCCGGGGGGCGGGCAGCGAGCGCTGAGGGGCGGCGGCGGCGGCGGCGGCGCTTCCCGAGCCGGGCCCGGGCCGTGCCGGGCCCGTCCCCGTCCCTGTTCCCGTTCCCGTTCCGCCGCCCCCCACCTGGCGCCAGGTGCCCGCCCGCCATCTTCTGGTGGCCCCGCGGGGGGCGCGGCGGGGGGTCGGGGGGTGCTGGCTCCTGGCCCCCCCCACAGCGCGCTGCGAGGCCCCGGCGCCTCGCCATGGCTGGGGAGGCGGCCGCGCAGCGCTTCGACGAGGATGATTTCTACTGTCCCGTGTGCCAGGAGGTGTTCAAAACGCCCGTGAGGACCGCCAACTGCCAGCATGTGTGGGTATCGCTGCGCTTTATTTCCCTGCCCTCCTTCTTTCCCTCCCCCCCACCACCTCCAGCCCGGTTTTCAGGCAGCGCCCCGAGGTAAGGCAGGTTGACAAGGGCTCGGTGCGAGGCTGGCTCCTGCTGAGGTGTCCCCCGCACTTCTGGGCTTTGTTTGTGCCCCCCCGTTCGCTTTCCCAACGGGAGCGTGGGTCAGTTATTCCCTCTTTCCCTTCGTCCGTTCCTAGTGGAAATCCATGCCTTCCTAGAGGAACGTTTAATCACAATTTATTCCTCTACTTAACCATACAGGGTGGTTAGTAGAAAGGCAAGGTACCCTTGATAGTTGGTGTACAAGGCTTCGCGAAGAAGCCTGAGGAGAAACGCAGAAGTGAACGAACTGAAATCTTTGGGAAAACTACAGAAATGAGGCTTGGCGGTATTTTTGGCTCCACTTAAGGACAATAAACAGGAATTACTCTGATAAGATTTTCCAGTGTCACGTGCCTGCTGCACCATTTAATATCTCATTAATGATCAATCCAGTGTAGAGCTCGGGAGCACTAGACAGAAAATAGGAAGATCTTTACCTGAAATTCATTGCCAGCTTCCCCTAATATCCGTATACTTCTTTGTAAGCACCATTCATTTTTCTTATGTCTATCTTATAAAGATTTTTGTCCAGTAGTCTGTGATGTATCGCTTTTTTGCTAATAATCACTCATTTCTTCTGAAGGACAAATATCTAACTTTTTTCACTTTGCTAATCTGTGTTTGTGGTAACTTTTCAATTTAGATTTTGCAGGAAGTGCTTCTTGACAGCTATCAGAGAAAGTGGAACACATTGTCCTCTCTGCCGGGGGAGTGTGACTAAAAAAGAAAGATCTTATCCCAAAAGGGCTCTAGATGTTGAAAACAATATGAAGAAAGCTTCTGGGGGCTGTAGATGCTGTGAGAAGCAGGTAGAGTAAAACTTTACAAAAAGTTGAATAACCTTGTTCTTATTTTTAAACAGACACACTCTTACTGTGTGCCTTTCATGTCTGGGAGCTAAAAAAAAAAAAAAGCCTGTAGTAGTTTGGACTTAGTTTTGTTTGGCTTGTATATATGAGGCACGTGATGCCTACCATTAGCTACCTGTTAGGTATGCTTAACATGTAAACTGAAAGAAGATCTTGTATTGTCTACAGTGACTTCCTGAGTGGGGTGCCAGTTTTTCCTCCAAAACAATGAGAAAACTGGATATAGCTATAAAACTGGCAAAATAAAAGTTAGGTGACTGAAAATGAAAGTTAGAGATGTATGGAAAACCTCAGACACTTTCAGTAGGGAAATGAAAGTGCTTAGAGTTACTTCAAAACTTACTCAAGTTGTGTTTTTTGTTTGTAATTTAATTCTGTACGTAACATACAATCATGTGGATGTTTCTCCCTGCACCACAGAACATCAGGCCGTTTATTTTGTGATGGGGGCATTATCATCAGAACTTTGTGTGAAATCCTGACCCCACTGAAATCTAGAATAATCTGCCTTCTGCTATAACCGGATCCAGGATTTTAGTGACCCATTTTATTTACATCAGATTTCACCCGATCCAGGTAGTCTTTATGTTAGTTGGGTTTCAGCTGGGACTTGGGTCTGCCAGTATGCAAAGGTGGGCTTTTTGCTCTGTTCCACCTGATACATCCAGATGGAACAACTGGGAGAAAGAAACAGTAACAAGTTGGTAAATTAAAAGGAAGAATGAAGCAGATCTTCAGAAGAACTTTAATGAAATTTAGGCACAGGCTCATGAGATGTGGTCTTGTTCAGCTTGTAAACCTGTAGGCAGAGTGCTGCTGGACCTGAGATTCTGATTTAGGCCATGTCCAGTGCAGCTTTTTGTTCTGACAAAATCTAGGCAATTCATTACTGTCTTACTTGCATCTAAAGTGGATAGGCAGCTATAAGCTGTTGTTCATCTACCTCCATTTATGTTGTGTTTTTTTTTTTTCTCCTTAAGTAGAAAAGTTGTACATTGTCAGAACACACCTAATGCAAAAAGATTTCGCTCTGAATAGAGTAACAGTGGTCCAGAGAAGACAAGGAGCGGTGGTGCTGACATCCTCAGGGCCCCTCCCTACAGTGGCTCATCAGTAATTGATCTTGGATGTGAGAGGTGTAGTTCCCATGGTTTTGTTTCAGTCAAGTGGAGTTCACTCACATCTTGCACTCCTGAGAGAGCTTTCTCAGTTGTCTGGCTGTAGAAGGTTTGGGGAGTGGAAACATTCTCCAGTCTCACAGTGATAGAAGCTCTATAGGAAAAAAAGGAGTGGAAGATCTTATGCGAGGGAGGAAAATGTTCATCCTGAGAGGGGAGGCACAAGTTAAGAGTTCTTGCTGCATATCATGTCTAAATAATCCCTGCATGCGTTGCTTTCTGTTGGCAGAATTCTCTTCCTTCTGTCCCTGGATTATTCAGTATAATATGAATAATTTGGCATTTCATTTACAGGTTAGATTTTCATGGATGAGACAGCATTATAAAACGTGTAAGAAGTATCAGGATGAATATGGTGTTTCTTCTATTATTCCAAACTTACAGATTTCCCAAGATTCAACAGGGAACAGGTAATCAGGGTGTTTTATGTATAACTATGCATCTTTTTTCCCCCCAAAGGACTTTTTTTTTTTTTCCCCAGGACATGTTTTCTTTTAATAATAATTATCTTCTGTTATATTACACTTCAAAAAATTACAGTTTTTCCAGATGTTTTTCTTTACTCAGCACACAGAAGAAAACCTTTCTACATGATGGCTTGGAATGTCTTCTAGGGGCTCTTTTAAAAAAAAAAAAAAAACAACAACAAAAAACATGTAGTATTTCCAACTTACTTTCCTTGCTTTGACAGCATTTGAGCAGCTTGCTTTGCAACAGATCTGATAATATCTAGCCCCAAGGAAGTTCCCTTCTTTTATTCCCCCCTCCCTTTTCATAAGTCTGTTTTAGTGGTTATCCTGTTTCAAAACACTACTGTGCAAGCTTTTGTTTTCAGGTTGAATTTGTTTTGAACTGATCTCTTATGAGAGGTATAAGGAATGCCAGCATGTTACACACCATAAAATCAAATGCCATTTACCACTTTGCTTTCAGACAGTAAAGCTAAAGAGCTTTCTTCCTCATACCTTCTGACTGATACGCTTTTTTTTTGGGGGGGGGAGGGAAGGGACAGTGGGAGGGAGGTTTTTTGAAGACCATTTTTACATACTAGTTTCATGGAGTTTTTATTGCATGTAGCTTGTGCTTCATTTACTGTGTGTGTTGACATCCTCTTTTTAGCACACTGAACTTCTGTGTGTTTGGTTTTCAATCCACCAGTATACTGAAAGCAGAAGTTCAAACTGTTACCAGAACTAGTTGTAGCAATGTTTAACTGAAGCTTCTGGATACTGTTATACAATTATTGATTATGCCACAGTAGAATACCTGTGCCTGTAACATTATAGAAGTATAAAAAATGTATTGTAACCAGATTTGTGATCATAAATATTCATGTTCTTAGGGTGGTATATCTCAGTATATCTGAGCAGCTTCTTCTGGCATAACTTGAGGTGCATATACGGTTAAATGTACTTTATAAAATGTTCCTGTTTGTCACTCTTATTTTAGGAAATTGATATTGTGCACCACATGAGGAAATTTTTCTTGCTGTAGTTGAAAATTTTAAATGACTTGGACAAACACGTGATAGTTAAATGATTATTTACATAGACATAATTCAAAAAACTTATAAAATGCTATCTGTCTTATGCTGTTATAGTTCAAAATGCCTTTTGAGTTATGTGGCTGTAAACTCCACTACCATTCATGTTGACTAAATGCTTATTTTATGGTATACCAATTTCCTATAAAATTATGTGGTAGTCCACCAAGGGTGACCATGGTAACTAGATACTGAGACATGCTTTGATCCAAAAGAAAAGTTGTGGAAGTTAACGTATGTGCCATAGTGTGTTTTGCCTTGAAATTCATGGGACTATACATGGATATATATGGATATGGATATATATATATTACTAAATATATATTACTAAATATATATAACTATATATTACCACATATATATTTATTACTACCTAGTAGTCAATACATAATAAATACATAATAAATAAATAAATATTATTAATACTATGTAGTAATAAATATATAAATATAGTAATAAGTATATAACTACATATAATAAATAAATATATAACTATATATTACTATGCTATTACTAAATTTTAAGAAATCTTGATAGTGGATGACAATAATAACCTAACTTTTTTTTTTATTTCATATAAAGTAGCAGGAATGATTCAATATCTGATAACGGAGGGATGGCTAATAATCAAATACTTCAAGGAGATACAAGGTAGGCTGCTTTTTTTTTGATAGTTAATATTACAACAGATCCATACAATCAGTGTAAGCTTCTACTACCTAAAAAAAATAAGCTACAGAAAAAAAAAATGAAAAATCTTTTGTTTCTTCTTCATTTGCATCCATATACCAGAATTTTTCAGTACTTTCCTGAAGGATTTGAACTAAAAGATATTACCAGTAAGAACAGGATGCAGCTGCAATGCAAAAAAAAATAAATAAATGTATTTTCTGAAGTCCAAGTTTCAAAAGAATGCATTTAGATGTACAAGTAATAAATTTGATTTACATTTGCAGTTTGGAAGTATCAGTGGAGCTCTGTTAGGTCCACAGTTATGTTATTAATGGCATTTTTTTTGTTGTTGATTTGTCATTATTTTCCCAAGTTCTTGTAACAGATCAGTTAAGCTTTTCATAACACTACTTCCAAAACATTTTTTTTTTGCTGTTTAATGCTGTGTATTTTTGTTTACAGTGGACATCCAACCTTCAAATGCCCTCTGTGTCAGGAAGCCAATTTTACCAGGCAGCGCTTGTTGGATCACTGTAATAATAGACATCTTTATCAGATAGTTCCTGTTGTAAGTAGTCACCCCCCCTTTTAAAATATATTTTTACTAATGTTTAATGCTTTAATACTTTCATTTTAATTATGTGAAAATTAATTTAAGCATGCAGTAACTAGTCTATATCTACACAGGTTGCTGTAGTCTTCAGAAAAACACTGTATTTTACTGCAGTGTGTTTAAACTCAAAACACTTGGCCATCTGGTCATTTTTAAGACATTTCTAACATGACTGTCTCATTTATCTCAAGTTGAAACAAACTCAGCTTCTAAGCTTGACATTAGTTCCTTTTCACTTAGTAATTCAGATCTGTTTTTACAGAATCTCATTTGTAACATAGTTATTGTTTCATGTGAAACCTACAGTTACTTGGGAAGTAATCTAAGGTTACTTAGGTTATCAGAAGGAGTGGAGGAGAAAAATCTGTTTGGTTTTCCAGTCTTCTCATCTGTTTAGGAACTGTTATTTTTTCTTTTCACCTACTTGATCATCTCAGCCCTATGAAAATCCTTCCAAACAGTAAGTAGGATTCAGTGATTGCTTAAAATGTAGTAAAGAAAGTAATGGAAATTGGCAAAGGGAGTGACAGACAGAAGTAATAATCCTTCACTTCTTAGAGAAACACTAACAAATTTGGCAAGCTGAAATTTAATTTTTGAATGCTACACCACTGAGGAAAGGAACACCTCAAACTATATTTTCTGTAAACAATTTTACTGTATTTTGATAGTGGGTGAGTAATAGTCTAGTTATTCCTATAGAACATGTTTTTAATGCATTCTGCATTACCAGTAACTTTTTTTTTTTTTTTTTAATTCTCTCTTTTTCTCCCAAATTCAGATCTGTCCTATTTGTGTATCTCTTCCTTGGGCAGATTCTAACCAGGTTACCAGAAATCTTGTTAGCCATCTAAATCTGAGACACCAGTTTGACTATGGAGAATTTGTGGTAAGCTTTCTTGTCTTTGATATGTCTGGGAACAAGTAGTAACTTTTTTTTTTTTCTCTAGAAATACAAATGTCAATTAAATTTCTTTAGAGCAGTAACACACTATGCTGCTGCTCTGGGCAGAAGTCTGTAATAGGCCTGTCTGTTCTTAACTTTGTGCTGTCTGCATGGAATGCTATTGGGAGTAGGTGTTGTCAACAGTTAAGCTATGCTCCAAACTGGTCACTTAAGTCTTTAGCTTAGTGTTCTCAGTCTTCACTATTTGTTCTTTTATAACAGTCTCTCGCTTCTGAGGGAATCATAGATGCTACTCTGTTTTATTGACATTTTGTAGCTATTGTGGCAGAAGTGGCTAAACCATTGTTCTCAGGACTTAAAAGTGCAGCTTTACAAGCTGGTGTGCTGCTACAGCCTCTCTTCCAATATGTTGTGAGAGGGGCTGCAACATGAAAAAGAGACGTGACATTAAATCACTGGTCTGGTTGCCTTCTTTCAGGGCTCCCTTGGAGTAAGGGGCCTTGGAGTAGCTGCAAAACTACATAAGCAGATTGTTAGTCACTGGGCTCATAGTAAGTCAAGCCAGCCAGATGAGTCCTGCATGTAGGATCAGGTCTCTGGAGAGTTCAAGCTGTAGTTTCTAGAGTATTTAACAGACTTTGGGGTGCACTGCTTTAGCCTTGTGTGGGATAAACATAGTAGTTGAGGCATAGGCACCCTTACAGGTTAATGAACACAAAGATAATGTATGTTCTTTGTGTTGAGTGATCTGCGACAAAGATACGAAGAGCTTGGAGATTGACTTGGGACTGGGCTCTTCAACATGAGTGCATCTTGCTTGTTTGAGGATATAGAACTGGTGGTTGGAATTATGATTTGAGGAAGCTGCCAGAATTGCACTAAAAAGGTGTATTACTCTGGCATATTAACATCTTGGAATACAGCTCTCCAAAAGTAGTGAGGTTAACCACCCATCTTTTGTGATACAGGTTTGCTTTCTCAATTTAAGCAGTATATTCTTCACAACCTGTGATTACTGTTGTCTGGGGATCACATTTAGTGTTTATTAATGGAGAAGGTTATTGCTTGTTGGAAACCCTGGTATAAGAATTGTATGACACAGTCAGCTTTCCTGAGCTGACTCTTCTGCAATGTAATTGAGCCAGGAAAAGAAGATGGACCCTTCTGTTTAATGAGCCTTGTCCCAATCATCTGATTCTTCTCCTGTCTCGTGGATCTTGTACTTACTTGATTAAATAAAAGGTACTGTGCAACATAAACCGTCAAGTACCACCAAGTATCACATGCCAATTCCTGTGTTAAACTGTGGAAAATGAATGATTAAAGTAAAGACTCTGGTGCTTCTTGTGTATTTGAATATTTGAGTATTTTGATGATGTTTTCATTTTGTTTAGAATCTTCAGCTTGATGAAGAAGCCCAATACCAAAACGCAGTTCAAGAATCCTGTCATGTGAACTTTTAAAGTATAGGCCCCCTTCATCCTACTGACTGAGAGAAAAAAAATGCATTAATTTTGTTGGTAATCTGAAGCATATATTAATAAAAATAGAATCCAGTAACTAGTTTTCAGGCTTAATTTTTCCACGCCGATAAGGACTTTTCGTAAGTGATTTTACTAAAACTCAAACTAGACATTTTTACTGAGATCTGTCCCTGTGGAATTAGGGACCTTTTTGAAACATCTCACAGTTGTCATGATTGTCTTTAACTTTTACTACTCTGTTAATTACACAGTTTCTTATGTTAATGACAGATATTTTAACTGACCAGTAACAATTTGAAAACAGCATGTTGGAAAGCGATGCAAAGATGCTCTGTTGCACTGTTGAATTTTTTTTAAGTTCATTTTTCATCTACTAAGATAGCTGTGAGATAATAATTTTTTCTTCTTCCTGCCTAAGGACAAAGTTTTATTTGATGTTGTGGTTTGTTTTTTACCATTGCTATGTAAATGAAAATAATGCCAATGTAAGAAATCAGAATACTTGTTTTGCGTAGATCAGCAGTGCAGAGGAGGTTTCTTTCACTTTCACTGAGAAAGGATGATGCCATTGCCTGGGAATAATTACATATGTTTTTTCCCTTTTTGAGCATAACTAAAGTAGGACACTTACTTAGTAAACTGGATGAAGAGTTTTCTCTGTACTCCCAACTATTCATGAAGACCATTCTCCTGATATATTGGGTTTGCTTCTGGCCTGCCTTTCTTGGGAGACTGTGTAAGTAGAGAACTAATCGGCTTCAGACCTACCAGTGCTCAGAAATTAACTTGTTTATTTTGGTAAAACTGATGAGAACTTCAACACCTACTGCATCCAAAGACTTGAAAAAACAGTTGAGAAGAAAAGCTTCTTTTAAAATAATTACCAACATATTCCTATTCTAGATAACCATACCCCCAGCAAGACAGTTATTAAAATCAGAGGAAAAAAATTACCTAGGCAATTTTGAATTTAAATAGAAAATCAATTTTTTTTAAATAATGTTCAGATATTTAATACTGATGGGAGGAATGGGAAATAAAGCTGCACAGATAACTTTTTTGAGATTCAGACAGAGAGAGTTCTGAATATGTACCTTTAGGACTGACTCTTCATGTTGCATTACTATCATCCATTGGCAAACTGTTGTTCTTAATGCGTACTGCAAATGTGGTGAAGAGCATACCCAGTAATTTTTCTGGTCTAGTTAATGAGTTATATGTAATAATATCAGTAGTGCAGCAGAAGTACAATCTGCTTCTTGTACCCTCTCTCCCATTTGCTCTCCAAGGTTTTGATTATTCTTTAAATACTAAAACATCTCTTATTCTGAAACTGTTAAGGTTGAAATGCCTCATTCTACAATGTAATGGGTTTCAAAACTGAACCCTAGTTATAGTATGTTGAGTGTTGGAATTAAAATGCTAATACACTGTAACTTGAAATTTCTATCTTCTATTTTCAAAAAGTCTAAAACATCACTGAAGGAATCAGCTGGCTAAAATACAGCTAAACCCAGCTATTTCAGAGCTATCTAAAAATTAACATCCCTTTTATAAAACATGAGTGGTATTTTTTTACTGGCTTGATATGATATTTTGACAAAAGGCCAGAATTCGAACTGGTGCTCCACCTTTCTTGTTTGCCTTCGTATTCCTATCTGAGTGTTCTCACTCTGTAAGCTCTAGTGCTTGTTCTGACCACATACTGTTTTGGTGTGGTTCACTCCAAATGTGATCTAACTGAAAAGTTTTAGATTTTTTTTTCTCTGTTCCTCTATAAAGCTAGCTGTGAAATAGTGTCCTTAAACAGAAAGAAATTTCAAGGTAGCCTGATACTAAAGTTGTAATTTTTAAAGATAAAATGACCGTGGTGTTTGGTTTTTATTGCTGCATAAATGTTCTAAGGAATTTAATAGTTATATTAAACTTTTTTTAGATTCAGTGAAATATTTATCTGATCTGGCAAAAAATGCCTGTAGCCAATACAGATTCAGAACACCTCTTGGACACTGGAACTAGTTATTTCTGTTACTTGAACATAACCTTGACAATTGCAAATATATTTACATCTACTTTAAAACTCTGGGAAACATGTTTTTCTATAGCAATAATTAGTTGTCACTCGGTGCATAGTTGCTGAAGTAGCATTTTGGTCATGTTTAAATGCTGAAAGACTCAAATGCACATTTTTAAGCACCAAAAGGCTACAAACACAATATAAAAAACTTGCAAACTGTTTATCCTCTTTATTTGTGTATACTAAGATCTGTACTGGTAGGCGTTGCCTTGCTTAATGTTTTATACTTCTAATATGAAGATATTGCATCCAGTACATTCACTAGGTAAGCGTTTAATGAAAATGAACGATCTAATTAAATATGCTGCTGCTGGTCATGATCTTTCTCACTGAAACTTAAAACGTGCACAAAAAAGCTGTGTATTTGTAATAGGTCATGCTTATACTCAGAACATAAAAAACCTTTACTGGGACATTGCTGTTGAACAATGTTTTTCATGTTCATGTTGCCTTGTGTATGGTTTCAATATGCTACATTATGTTGGAATTTTACCTTCTGTTTTTTTCGATTAAAGTTATTTTATTTTCTATTTGTCTCTTTGTTGCATAATAAAGATGATCATTTCCTTTGGCACTACTTCTTCCTTTCCAGATGCTTTCTAAACTTCGGTTAATTGTCATTCGTATGCCTTCATAGTATGTTGCTTGAACTAATGAGTTTGGCCTTGGCTCATGATCCTCTCATGAGCTGACAAGCTACCTTAAATCACATCATAAGATATTTCCACGAAGCAAAAATGATGATAGGTTGGACAAAACTGTTACTCATGCATCTTTTCCTCCCTCTCATATTAGTATGTTGCTGTCCCATGTGATGTTAACAGAAAAATAACCTCCTAAAAGAAGGAAAGATGTACATAACACTTGGCACTGATAGCAAACCTTGTTATCTGAAAGTAGATTTACTGAAAAGAGTTAATGTTTTTCTGAGGAATGACTCGTTGATAGGTTTGGGCTGGCTGACTTATTGGACCAGCTTGGTGGCATGCAGGTGGTTTATCCTTCTGCCCCTGTGTTTTTGAGCAGAAAAACTTGGTTATTTTTTGTGTTTTTACATTTTAGGATCATACACATGATAAGATGGTTAAGACATTTGAATTAATATCTTATTTTGAATGATAGAATATGGCAAAATACATACCTTTTAGTTTTTATTAGTTTATTGTTCGTTCTCCTTAGAATGTAGTTTTGTGAGCTCTAAACAGATTATTGTACCACCTAAATCTGGTTATAAGCCCTTTGCTAGAGATTCCATTTAATTTTGTTTTACTGTAGCAAAGTATATTTCATTATGTAGGGAGAATGTACTCAGTGTGTTTAGTTCTCATTGGCAGCACGTTCATAATAGGATAAGTGAGCTCTGTAGAACTCCTCCTTGTCCTGCTCTAGTCCTAAATCAGGACTTCATTCCTGAGGAGAGAAGGGATCAGTTGTGTACCCAGGTTGTCTTCTGGCAGGTCATCAGGGCTAGCATGTATTCTGTGCTCGGAAGGCATTTTTCAGTCCCCTCTTCAGATGTTAATTTTGAGACCAGTGATATTGGAACACGAGTGTGCTATAAATATTTCTATAGTATTTTTTAATATCCTGTGTTTTATGCCGAAACACACACATGAATTCATGGATCTTTAATGCACATGCTCTTTGCTGGGTCTTGCAAATACTATGCGCTTTGTGAAATGACACTAGAACCTGCAGCCAAAGTTGTTTCATTGCAGACAAGCAGAGCTACAAGGATATCTTGCAATAGGAACCTCAAAGTTCAACAAGCAGAGGTGTAAAGTCCTGCACCTGTGGGGGAAACCATCCCTTGTACATATAAAGGCTGCAGCCACCAACCTCGAAAACACTTTGCTCAAAAAGATCTGGGATTTCTGGTGGACACCAAGTTGAACAGGAGCCAGCAATGTGCCCTTGCAGCAAAGAAGGCTGACAGTATCCTGAGCTGCATCAGGCAACGCCTTGCCAGCGGGGTTGAGGGACGTGATCCTTCCCTTCTCAGCACTGGTGAGGCCACACCGGGAGCACTTCGTCCAGTTCTGGGCACCCCAGTCCAAGACACAGACATACTGGAAAGTCCAACAAAGGGCTGTGAAGGTGCTGAAGGGCATGGAGCACTTCTGTGTGGAGAGGCTGAGAGAGCTGGGTGGGACTGCTCAGCCTGGAGAAGAGGAGGCTCAGGGGGAGCTCATCGTTCTCTGTAAATACCTGAAGGGAGGTGCCAAGAGGACGGAGGCTCTGTTCAGTGGTGCCCAGTGCCAGGACAAGAGGCCATGGGCACAAACTGGCCCACAGGAGGCTCCCTCTGAACACCAGGCAGCACTGCTTTATGTGTGGGTGATGGAGCAATGGCACAGGTTGCCCAGAGAGGCTGTGGATCTCCCTCCTTGGAGATCATCCAAAGCCACCTGGACATGGGCCTGGGCACCCTGCTCTGGGTGGCCCTGCCCAGACCAGGTGACCTCCAGAGGTCCCCTCCAGCCTCTGCCATTTCTGTGAAAAGTATCTTCGAGGTTCTTCTAGAATTGTAGGAAATTAGCAATGAAAGGACAGAAACGCTATATAGTTTTTTCTCAGTATGGAACACATTTAAACTCACTTTTAAAAAGCTCTTCGATGTCCTGTTATATGTATAATTTAATATATGTAGAAGACAAAATTCAGGGCCTCTACTATAAAAAGGCTTTGCAATAGCGTTAAAATTGCCACTTCCCAGTGAATTACCAGGCTCTGGTTGACATTTTTTTCCCCTCGTGCATGAAGTAAGCTTGGAGTGTTACTGTGCTTAAACTGTAAGGCTGCTTTGGAAAGGGCCACTCTTTACCTCTTCATTTTCCCTCCCCAAGCAGCATTGTTCTGGCTGTAGCACTTCCCCCCCCCCCCCCCACTCCCTTTTCCCAGTCCTATAACATTGTTTCTGTGGACAGGAAAGAGCTTTAAAAAAAAATAAAATTAAAATAAATATTCATGTGTTTACTCCCCACCCCCTAAGACGTTAGGAGATTGAAAGAAAAAAAAAATCATCACTGTTAAATGCATTCCACCTAATTCCATTTTAAATCTTTGTAGGAAATTGTATACATTCAAGATGCGTTTCTCAACTCCATGAAGCTGCAGGTCATTGCCCAGGGCTTAGTGACAAAATACTGTTCGTATGAATTTGCTTAAACTTGTGGGAACACTTAGTCACTGGGAAAAGCATTCCTCACTATTACTTTATATTCTCTTTCTGTGCTCTTGGATGTCTCTCTCTCTCTTTTACTCCCTTGTGTCTTTCCCTGCAGCAACTCTCTGAAGTTTTCCCCATGTCAGTATTCCTCCCACTCTCCTTTCTGTCTCTTAAAGTAATCAACAATTAAATAGCTAAGATTATATTACTTAGCTACTGAGCGTTGTCTCATATTCTGTATACTTTCTAAGTACCTGTGGCTCTACCCTCAGTATCCTGGGGCTGATGTCTGCCTCAGGGGTAAATAGAGTATCTAGCAAACTCGACATCAATACCTCCCAGAGTTAGCCTGCTACATTTACTGCTATGGCTGGAGCTTTTATTTCTCAAAATGTGTTTGCAGTTTGAAAGACTCAGAAAGTCTTACCAGTCAGATTTGATATTCAAAGTTGTCGATCCTGTCCCCTCGTCATGCTAAAAGTATTTGCTTTGTTGTTCTCCTTGGGGGGCCAGTTTGTGCCCATGGCCTCTTGTCCTGGCACTGGGCACCACTGAACAGAGCCTGGCTCCGTCCTCTTGGCACCTTCCTTCACATATTTAGAGACACTGATGAGCTCCCCCTGGGCCTCCTCTTCTCCAGGCTGAGCACTTCCAGCCTCTCTTCACAGGAGAGGTGCTCCAAGCCCTTCACCAGGCCCTTCTCCAGGGTAGCTGTTGAAGCTGCAGTGCCACAGAAGGTGCAATTTATGTGCCGCCTCAGTTGTGAGACTGTTCAAACTTCAATAGTTTCTTTTATGAATTTTTCTTCTTTCATATTTCAAGCCACAAGAGGGCACTGAATATTTTTGAGTTGTCTCTGAGTAAGTGTAGGATTTAACAATGCTAATTCACTAAGTAGCTGTACTCCTCGACACTTTTAGATAAATTTCTATCCAGACATTTCATAAAACATAATAAATCTTTTACACGTTTTAGGGGTTGAGAGGCTTTCTGTAGATTGCAATGATTCCACTAATAATATTTCTAATTTACTTGAAATCCTGCAACTCATAAAGTGTGTTTCATCACCTGGACAAGTAAGCTGTGCTCACCCAGGACAGTGCCCTGGGAAGAACTGAGTGTTCCCCAGGTGACGAGTGGACACAGAAAGTAGCGTGGTCATGCAAGCTCTTCCCTTGCAAGTCCCCTCCTTCCCCGAAAGCCTTTTTTAGAGGTGTTTAAAATGAAAGTGTTGTAGTAGTGCAGCCAGGAATCACAAGGGGGCATCTGAGGACTGTTGCTTTCTGTGCTAATGAGCAATATCGCTGATTTTTGACTCCTTGCTTTATGAAACTGCACCCATGCCATCGACCTCGCCCATCACACCTGGGCTGAGCTGCTCACAACTGCTGCGGTGGCCGGGTGCAGGGAGGCTTCGATACCCCCTTGCACTACTTGGGCCTGGTAAGCTGCTCTCTGCCTGTACGCTCAATAGTTTGGGGTTGCCACAGGCCTCCGGAGTGAAGAGAAAAATTCTCCCAGCCACGTCTCACAGTCTGCCATCTGAAAGAGAGCAAAATATCCCTGGAGTGGTCTCCCCGAGCGGCGTGATGTTTCGTGGCCAGCTCCAGCCACTGTAGGGCTGCACGCCACTCACTGTTTGCTTTGCATATTAACATCATTTGTGCTTACCTTAAAACGCACATGTGTGAAAACATGTCAGATGTGGCTCATGAAATGGTGTACACCCAAGCTTCATCTGGGTGCTTTTTAGTGTTCCTCTCTAATTCCCCTATAGCTAAGTAGTGGGAGGAATCTGAAGGTTTGTTTCATGTTCTCGGTAACTCTTAATGAAAGCAAACATTGTATTTCATAGAATCATAGGAAGGTTTGGATCAGAAGGGGCCTTAAAGACCACCTGGTTTCAATCCCCTGCCATGAGCAGGGACACCACTCACCAGACCAGGCTGCCCAAAGCCCCATCCAGCCTGGCCTTGAACACCTCCGGGGATGGGGCACCCACAGCTTCTCTGGGCAGCCTGTGCCAGGTTTGCTCCCCTGCAAGAAGACAGAAAACCTGTATTTGGTATCTGTTGTAATTTTCACTTTCTTACATTTATTTCCATTAGACACCTGCTGGGTTTGTAGACATCGGAGTTTCTTAACTCGAAATACTTACGTCTTCAACTTGAAACATTTTGGATTTGGATGAAGGTCTCTTATCTTGCAGGTTTATCTGACAGCCCTTATCTTTATTGGTACTTGTGCCTCATCAGCCAAGGAGATAGCTTTTCAGTGTTATCCCCTTTCATGAGTTTAAGTGAAAAAGTGAAGCTAATTTGTGCGAGATAACACGGGAAGTTTGAGATGGGGCAAGGAACAATCTGCTATCTGAAGGTAATAGACCATTTGAATATCCTGCTCTTTAACAATAGCTCTACAAGCACTGCTAAATGCTCTACAAGCCAGCAATTTTTAAGATGACTTAATTAATTCATATCACTTAAGTTCACATTGAAACCCACAGTCAGTCAAGTTTCACCCAAATGTCAACAAGCAGCCATGAATCACAGTTGTTCACTGAGCAGTATACTGATAGCAAAATTATCAAAGCATCTGTGCTGAAACACAGATCAACAAAACTAACCAAGTATAAAACGGCCTATCAAAAATGCTCGAAAATATCTGTCCATCTAGAGGTGTTTTTTATTGTTTTTATGGTTCTTTGTAGTTAGCTGAGATTGCATTTGGAAATTAAGTTCCTTCGGCTTTATAAATAGCACCTGCAAGCAAAATAGGACTTTTTATAGCTCTCCTGTACTTCACTTATTTTTTTTCCAGTATGTCCACCATCATTACTGTCTGTTCCTGGGTCCTTATCCCCAGATACAGCTTTACTAAGCAGTCTAAAGCAGGTGCAGCTTTCCATCTGCACTGGGCAAACAACGCCTGGTGAATGTTCCTTATTCTGCAACAAGGCAGCAGGATAAGGACTGCAGGATTACCATTACTACCTGTGGTTCAATAGTGCCCACCTGTGATGGTGCTGCCCTGCAGACACCAGGAGACACTGCCTGTCCAAGGGAATGTGCAGCTTGCTCTGTGATGATGCCCATCTGCCTGCTGATAGAGATCCAAGAGGTCACTGCAGGACTTCTGCAGCAACCTCCACATTGATTTCTGATGTCTTTCCTTGTCACTGCTTGTACTGTCAGCACAGGAGCATGTGGGTCTATGGGGCAAAATCTAATTGACTAGAACCAACCAGCTAAAGACCTTCTCATTCTGTTTTCTTTGTCTTCCTCAAATACAGAGCTTCTAGTCAGTGTACACTACCTGCAGATTAAAATGGGATGGAAACAACATCCTTTGAATCCACAGTTCCCCAACTGTGTCAAGAAAGGATATGTGTTACTTTTGGCTGTTATATGTCCTGGTAATTGTAGAAGAAATTCATAATGTAAGACTGCCATTCCTCTTATATATCTGAAAACTCACACCGCCTATTCAAATAAGTTTCACTATCCCTCATTAATTCATCTGAGTAATACTCAGTTGCTTCCTACTGTGGACCTCGGTCTTAGAAGTATGATACGGCACATAGTGCTTTTCATCTTTAAAGTAAAATACAGAGTCATGTAGCAAAACCCTTATGTAAAATAAGGGGTAGGTATATTGCCTGAACACAGGAAGTCAATGATAAAGCAAGGTGTTTGTCATTGTAAAGAACATGGTCACAAAAGTAGATAAGCTCCACAGAAAAGATTTTGCCAATTAGATTAAAAACCAACAACAAACAAACAAACAAAAACTTCATGAAGACTTCCCACTTATTACCATTGTCTCAGCATGTATTAAAAATCCATTAAAAAGCGTGTATTAAAAATCCATTTAGCTACTTTACATTGTCAGAACTTCTGACTTAGAAATCCACACACTCTGTTGTTCATCTATTGTTTATCTATTATGTCTTGTTTTATTATACTAGATAACTGGTTGAAAATCTGAATGAACTGTAAGAAAAACGTATATATGGGCTGTATAACAATGCAGGGTTAGCTGCATTGGTTAACTGTGTGCCATGGTTAACTTTGTCTGTGCCTTCTCTCTTTCATGTTACCATATGCCAATTCCAACACTTTGTAGTGTTTTCTTTGGGTAGCACACTTTTTATCCAGCCCTCCAAGCAGATTCATCATGACATAGAGGTTTATTGAGCCCTTCTTTGTGACCGGAAAATCATCCTTGCATCTCCTATTGTAAAGAGGTTGGTGTCAGGTCTCGGTGCTGGCTGATGCATCTTACAGGTGGGGATGTGGGAACAGAAAGCAGACTGTCTTGATTAGTTACATATAGGAGGGACCAAAGAAGTAGAAAAACAGTCTTCTAGGCTTTTTTCCAACACTGTGACCAAACCAAAAACTGTTTTTTTTTTTTTTTCTTTGAGTTCATTGCAAGGCATCTATAAGGTACTATAATCAAGGAGTAATGGCGGTAGTCTTTTACTTTGGATCAGAAGTGTATTTCTTTAAACAAGTATCATAACCATCCTCACTTACCATACTTTAGTTCACATCACAAAGCAGTGTAGGAGCATACAAACTGAATTCCTTTGGTCTGAAACTAAACCAGAATATGTGCTTCAAATCCTTGCTTAATACAGTCCAGTTGCCACCACTGAATTGCAATCCTTGAGATCAGATCAGAGCTCGGCTGGAGTAAAACCCTTTGAAATGTGTACAGCATAGATGCCAGGTTCTTAGCACCAAATCCTTCGATTTAGAAATCTGTTCCAGTTGATTCAAAGTGGTTGTTACTATAGCCATAGCCAGTATAACCCACAGAGCCTCCAAAAGGAGAATTACTGGCTTCACCCAGCAGCTGCAGAAGGCAGCAGGCAGAATTCAAGGACTGCTGAACTTGAAAAAAAAAAAAAAAAAAAGGCTTTTTAGCCTTCCAGGTACTACTGATCTGATAACAACTGATAACAACTGACAGTGTCATTGTTGATGGCTAGAGAACTACAATGTTTAGTATTAATTTTGTAGAAAAAAAAAAGCTAATCCTGTAAGAACAATGATATCAACAACTGCTGCTTCCCAGTGAATCAACAGCGTAATAAGCATGGATCTGGGCAGCTAAAAACTGGCTTGGCTTGGCAATTGCTTACCATCAACTAGTTGTTTCTTATCAGTTCTGATACTAGTGATGCTAGTATGAGAAATCTTTATATAATCATGTGAAATTCTTTTTTTTTTTTTTTTTTTTTCATTTACATTACAAAATCTAAATGCCATTTTAGTTTTCATGAAATTCTAGCCAGATAGCTGTTCTGGGAAAATAAACAGCTAGCCAAGCTGATCATACAATAACTACAAGTACCTGAAATTTAAGCATAAGAAGGAACTTAAGTGGCAATTTCAGCCCTCCCTGTCAGTTAGTAGAGAGGAGAGAAGAATGAAGTTGGAATAAGCTAAAACTGCAAGCGGTGACAATGGTGATAGTACAATAGCTATAGTAACATTAAAAATATATATATTAATTTGTAAGGAATTTTTACATAAAGACAGGAGAATGTCACCACCTGATTTACTGACAAGTACAGTGTCTCACATTTATCAACAATAGAAACAGCATTTCCTTTTCTGAAAGCAAGATTCTGAAACCATGTTACTGGCAGATTATTTTACTTGCACACATTTACCATTTTCACTTTCTGTCACAAACCACATAATTCATACATTAAAGCTTTCCCTGCCAAGTGTCTTACTAGCTTTTAGCTTTTCTGAGTGTTTTAGTGCCAGCTTTATTCAGACATGTAATGGTGGGAAGGCACCTCTGGAGATCGCCGTGACCCCCCCGCTCAAAGCAGGGTCACCTACGGCAGGATGCTCAGGGCTGTGGCCATCTGGGTCTTGAATATCTTCAAGGATGGAGGCTCTGCAACCTCTCTTGGCAACTTGTTCCAGTGTTTGATAATCCATATAATTAAAAAAAAAAAAAAAAGTTTTCTTATGTTTAAATGTAATTTTCTATATTTCTGTTTGTGCCCATTTCCTCTGTATTTCCATTTTCATGTGTTCATTTCCTCCCGTATTTCAGTTTGTGCCTGATAGGTGTTCTCACAGCAGTGATTAAAAATAAAGAATATGCTAGGTGCCTTGATGTACTTATGATGGACTTAATCTTTAAAACAACGTAGAGGGAGGTAAGTTAATCATTAATGAAAGGACAAAGGTTTTGATTTATGATATTTGTCATCTTAAGTACCAAGTTGGTCTCAAATTCTGTCAATGCACCTGCTTGCTGACTGGATAACAACATGGACTGGTTTTCTGTGCCTGTGCTCCTAACGTGGCTTCTCCTGCAAGTGGTCTGGAGCCAGGTAAGAAAACAAATACATATCCTTTATATGCTCAAGTAAATGATGCAGCTTGAGGTGAGATTGAGAGGAAAAGACTTAAGCATGGCTGTTGCAAAACAAGAATTCTGTTGTCTTTTGTGTGGAGCAGAAGAAGATTTCTGTTTTCTCGGGATTCTAGAGCTGTTGTTTTTTATAGGCTTTGCTATACATTGGAAGAGCCAATTTGCACTCCCCATTTGAGCAAAATTTCCATTAGTATTCAAAGTATTCTTACCAGAATGGTAAGTCCAGGGTTAGAGCCAAGATAAGTATTAAAATTTATTTTTGCTACTCCATATCTGAATAGAAATACAGTGTGCATTTTTTTTTTTAACTACAACACAATATATTTTGTATTGAAATCGATGCATTTTTAGCTGCTGGATTTGCTTTTTAAAGACCAATCTCTGTTCCTCCAGTCTAGCTAAACTACTTAATGCCAAAAGATAACAATGACAGCTTTGATATTTTGTATTTCCTGTCTTTTGTAGAGAAGGTAGTATTTTGCTGATCTTGTGATAATTCATTGTAGAGGCCAGGTGTTTTGGTGATACATAATCAATTAGTTTGGACAACAGAAAACAGTGGGTTTTTGTAAGCTCATTTCTGCTGTTAATAGCTTCAGGGTAATTTACAGAGTAAGATGTTCCATTAAGTGGAATAATCTTATCTATTTTAATTTATGCAACTTAACTGTCTGATTTTGTGAATCCAGCTCCAATATCTGGCTGTGGCGGTCACATATTCTTCCTCTCCATTAACAGATGTTCATATATCTCCCTAAGTCAAGAGTTTAACTCCAAACTCCCAAATCACATAGCTCCCTGTATCTCCCACTACCTGAGTCCTACACTTCTATTTCCCCACCCATCACAACTCCTTCTTCCCCTGTTCCCAAACCTTTGGACACTCAACCCTCAGCCTTGTTTAGATTCCTCTGAAGGCCTTTGTAATGCATATAACAGGCAGTGCAGACTGACACCAAGATCTACAAGCTAACACATCAAGCTGACTCCTAATAACCAGTTCCTCTGTGAGTCAGGAACTTAATATCACCAAGGCTACTTACTTGGTTTCCATGTTCATTATGGCCAGGAAGAGCTCCTTTTGTATTTCTGCATGCCAATACTATAAATTATATAGTCTGAAGAAAACACTAGTAAGTTAGGATGTCTTGTCCAAACTAGCTGACCATACCCCACCTGGAATCTGTGGTGAGACCAGGAAATTTTCATCAGGTGATTCATCACATCTTTGAATAGAAGCTCAGTGAGGTACATCATCTTTTAGACATGCCAGGACATCATGGTGGTGCCATGCCTATTTTCAGGAGAGATGAATTATATATACAATTACCCATTTATTTCTCCACTGATTACATGTCTAATTTTAATGACTAAAATAGGTGAGGTGTTTTTCCCAACTGTTCAAGATGCACTTGAATTATTAAACACTTAAATGTGCTGACAAACCATGGTTTGACCCACGTTTAAAGTAACTTAATTCACATGAATCATGTTGTTTGCCAAAGTTAGGGAAATATTATAAATGTTCAGAAAAAAATGTTCTGGGTAGATTTAAAAGTAACATTGGTTAGACTAAATTAGATTCCTCTTTGGTAAACCTCAGTTAATGTAACCTCCTGTATGTGACTGTGAACTGTGAATCTGTTTTTTGTTCACAACATTTTCAGAGACTAGAAATTCATCGTATAGGTCTCAGTTGTCATGCTGGTGCTGAGACTGAAGCTGTTACTACTCGAACAAGTAATACACAGCTATTCCTTTGGGAACTGAGTGCTTTGCTGTTCGGATTCACATGCCTAAAGACCTAATTTTGTTCAGAAACAAGTAGAAAGGAATGATGAAAGGAATTCCTTCTGCGTAAAACATTCAGCAACAGTTTTCAGATATGGGGGACCAGCCTGGATTTCAGCTGATTGCTGAATGTGGTATTCACATTCAGTAATGGACTCATACTTTGGTTTATGCACCATAAATACCACTGGGCTTAGCTACAGTTACTTCAGTTTATGAGCTTTGGCTGCAGACAGAGGAACTTTTCCATGAGCTAGTCAGTTTTTACCTTTAGAGCAATTAAGTTTTCTGATTAGCAGATATGGGAACATTGTAGCTCGTGATTATCGAAACTGTAAAAATATTTTACTCCCTGTTAACGGCTAAAAGGTTATTCAATACATATGGCTATGATCTGATATGACCTCCGTCAACAATCTTTAGCAGAAAAGACCACAATGTGATTTAATTTTTTAATATTGCAAAGTTTACTTCTCAATGTTTTTCTTTCACATTACCTGGAAATCTGCATGAGAGTGGGAGTTTAAAAGCAAATAAATTGCTCAAAGCATGCATGACACATTTTGCTTGCATACTTTCAGCTTGTTTTACAAGCTTCAGTTTCATTTAAAATCTCAAATACATGGATTAGATACTGTCTTACAGATATCTTGTGATAAAGGAACATAATGATAGGATATGAATGCAATAGAATTTCAGAATGTAAGAGGCATCTATTGACATTACATATTTATGGGTGATTTGTCTGGAAAATGTATTTTGGTTTATTGAACTGTATCCATATGTATTTACATGATTATTCTTTTGTTAAAGTCAGTGTCCTTATTTCTCATGTGTCAGTGTAAACCCAAATAATACCAATTAACTCAGTGAAATATGAGATCAAATATCAATCCTTCAGCATTTGTGCTTTTGCATTTGCACAGCTCTAGCAATGGTTTTACAATGGACTCATTCACTTTTCCATGATGACACTAGGTTTTTAAGAGTCAGGTATATTGAAACCTACCAAAATCTGAAACAACCCAAGACTGTGAGGTACTTGTTCTCTAATAATGTCAATGCCTCAGGAGAAATTGGGTTAGGAAACAGATTCTATTCAATGGTTTCTGGAACTGACACATCCAGGTAAAAAATCTTAAACTTCTAAATTATAGCCTCCAGTTGGTTAGCCAAAAAAATGTTTTTCCCCTCTTAAGCAATCAAAATAAATGATTAAAATCTGAGAAAAATGGTGAAGCAACAATTTGAAATCATTTTAGTTCAGATGAGTCAAAAGGATAAAAAGAGATTTCAGGCTTTTGTATTTGCAGTAATTTTTATGCCATTTACTGACATTTTTACAAGACAGTCATTTCAGATTGAAAAAGGAATCTTTCATTAAAAAGCCAAAACAGGACATTCTGGCAATTTCAATGCTTTCTTACTGAACATTCCCAAATGAAAAAAATAAAAAATTCATTGAAATGATTATTTTTTCTGCATTTGGTTACTGTTTTTATATGAATCAAATCAGTTTTAGGGCCCTCCGTTATGTTTGCCTTCAAAATTGTTCCTATCATTATGTGCCAAAATTCATGTCAAAGAAATTCTTCCTAACATCTAACCTAAAACTCCCCTGGCATAACTTTAGCCCATTCCCCTCGTCCTGTCACCAGGCACATGGGAGAACAGGCCAACCCCACTCACTACAGCCTCCTTTAATGTACTTATACAGAGCAATAAGGTCACCCCTGAGCTCCTCTTCTCTAGGCTGAACAAGCCCAGCTCCTTCAGCCGCTCCTCATAGGACTTGCTCTCCAGGCCCCTCACCAGCTTCGTCGCCCTTCTTTGGACCCGCTCAAGCACCTCGATGTCCTTCTTGTAGCGAGGGGCCCAAAACTGAACACAGTACTCGAGGTGCGGCCTCACCAGAGCCGAGTACAGGGGGACGATCACCTCCCTAGCCCTGCTGGTCACAGTGTTTCTGATACAAGCCAGTATGCCGTTGGCCTTCTTGGCCACCTGAGCACACTGCTGGCTCATATTCAGCCGACTGTCCACCATCACTCCAGGTCCTTCTCTGCCTGGCAGCTCTCCAACCATACACATGTATTTAAATCTCTCTTGAATATTCTGGCACTACAGTTTTCTTATCCACTATACAGATGGAAGAACTGACCAAAATTCAATGTTTTTGTGGACTACATGGACTTGATTTTTGAAGTTTTTCAATATTCTGAGCTTGTACTGCTCATTGCTTTTAATGGAGGCTGCAGATATTTATCACACTGGAAAAATACATTCTAAAAAAATGTTACATGCAAAATACATATAGGAAAGGTAGAAAATTATTTATACAGAGAAAGAAATCAGTCAGGAGTAAGGGGTCAAACTATAGCAAAAATGAATGTAAAAATCCCACCCTGCTATATAGAACTGCAGTTATAACTTACTATTTGATGTATCCACAACCTATATTGTCAGGTCTTAAAATTTAAGTGTTGTTCATTTTAAGTTTGTGAACTTCTTTTCAAACATACAAATATAAGAGTTTTGATGATAAACAGGAAAACCCACCCAGCAAGAACCGTTTCGAGAGTTTATTCATGATCTTACCACCCGCATGAGGAATAGTTGAATAGTGTTGTGTTAAAGAGTCCAAAACAAAGCATTTAGTCCAAGAAAAGAATATCAATTATATTCCATGGGCATGGTAAGGCAAAAAGAATGCAGTATGTATATCTCACTGTGGTCTTGCTGCAATATGGAGCTTGGATTTTGCACGTTGCAGGAACAGTCTTTAAGTTGGTATTTCTCAAGGCACTGAAGACTTGCTGCATGGTGCTGGACCACTCACCCCCAAATTCAGCTTTACAATGGAATTCTAGGCATAACTTCTACAGGTTCTGTACAGCACCTGACTAGCAGCAGTATTTGATTTCATAGAAGTAATAGGTTGAGAAAACTTCACAGGATCAGTACTGGGTGACTTGCTTTTTGGGCAACCTGGAGTGAGGAGAGTGCAAAGCTGTCACAAGCAAATGAGCATCTCCAGTCAAATGAGAAGATGGTCTGATCAGCCCAATACAAAGCATGGGTTAAGTACTGTTAAGAGCATAAAACTTATACTGTTATACTCTTAAACTGTTGAGAGAGTAATAGTTGCATTTCATTGTGTACCTTTCTAATAATGCCTTTTTTTTTTTTTTCTTCCCTCTCCCCAGCCTGCTCCAGAGACTATTGGTGAGTTCTGCTTACAGATCTATTTGTATGCATAGGAGGCAGGCAAAAAAAAAACAGCTGGTCATAAACATCACTAGGACAGATGCAGATTTATAATTACTGTTATTGTTATTGCATTAATTTTCACACATCATAAAGAAAACAGCAAGGGCTAACACCCTACCTCACTTGTCTTTTTCTTTTTCAGAAATAGACGTAGATGGAGGAATTGATCAAGACATCTTTGACATCAATGAAGGTTTTTTTTTTTTTAATTCAGTTTCTCTTTAATTTTTTTTTTTTTGGGGGGGGCAGCTATAGATCAATAGAATAACTGTATGTTAATCTCCTCTTCCCTTTAGCTTTAGGACTAGACCTTTTTGAGGGAGACATCAAACTTGATCGGGTGAGTTCAAATATATATATGAAACAAGAACTGTGTCATCAGCTTATGCAACGTAAAGTGTTAGTAGCATTAAAATGATTGATGCATCCTGCTCATACTAACTGTAAATACTGTTTATGTTACAATAAGCTGAAAATGTTTGGGGGTAGATTTCTACAAATGTCATAGACAATGAAGGATTTGGGTGCATTTGCAGAAACATTATCCAGAATAAGGTCAGTCTAGCCATTACTTAATATTATTAGCATTGTGTTTTCTTCACTGTGGTTTTCATATTTTTACTTTTAAGATATTCAGCAGCACAGATCACATCCAGACAGGGTTTTATAAAATATTCTTAATTTATGTGCACAATATTTATTATAAGCCAATTAACTTTACAGACCAGTGCTGCAAAACCTTCATCATATAAGTAGATTCACCAAAGCCATTGGAAAATTAGATCTGTGAGTAATACCACATTTTAAATCATCTGCCCTATATCCCTGTCCAATCAATAACATTAAAAATATTTGCATAGCTAGTCATATCTCAAAAATACCTAGTGAAAACACCACAATTGTCTTATACCCCTAAAAGGGGTAGAGTTTTCCTCTCCCTTTTGGTGAACTGCTTCTGCCCAGGCATATCAATGGAAGCAAAGAAAGCACTGGTTAAGGGCACAGGAACAAACCCTTGCATTATGAAAAATTAGAGAGTTATTGATGTCTGTGCTCATTTCAGGACTTTAGATCTTAATGCTTCCCACAGGAGCTAAGGTTCTGCTCAAATGTATCAAAATCTCAGGAAATCTGTATGGAGAAAATGCTGCAGAAATCAGAGTCATTGGTAGAAGAGAGTAAAAGAACTTCAAACCCGAGTCATAGACCTCCGAGTGATCTGTCAAACTTTTTGAATTCTTTGATTCCTTATGTGTCTAAAATGGACTTGTAAGAGACATAATGCAGGCTTTGCATTAGCATTTTGCATTAGCACTGTTTTAGTCTTGGATCATAGATCAGTTTGTACTGAAAACTGCATGCCTATTTTCTTTCTCATATGCAGGAGCGAAACTCCATCATTGGTGACAACTATCGGTGGCCCCATGTTATCCCCTATGTCCTTGACGATAGCCTGGGTACAGTATTTGCTCTTGACAATGTGTTTAAGTCATGTTGATTGAAATGTTAAATACAGGTCAGCAAAGATCTGTGGCATCCTTTCCTCTTCCCACTGCCATGCTGTAAGTCTAGAGCAGGGCATTTCCCACTGCAGGATTAGGCCTCTGTATGCACCAGCAGGATATATCATCTTGGTCTTTGTGCTGGGAACCCACCTCCTTTCTTAACCTGGATGCTTCTTAACCTGCCATAACCCAGCAGATTGGTTTGCTTTTGAAGGCATGTGTCTAAGACATGAAACTATACTAAGCAGAGGAAATAAAAAGGCACTGAAGATCTGTTTAAAGCCAGGAAGCTCACTTGGTCATTTATATCACTTAGAGCACTGATGGCATCTTGGTATTCTGGCCTGCAATGAAGTTTGCAATGACACATTTATGAGCGCCCTGCTGTGGGGCCTGGGACACATCACAAGATGGAGACCCTGGTCTCCATCCCTTCACTTCCACCCAGCTGTGGCATTGCACGGCAGAGGTGAGTGGTGAGATAGGGAGTACGAGTCCTTGTTGTATACCAGGTGAGGAGACCGTGCCCTCACTACATAGTGTGGGGTCATCCTTCTGGTCTATGTCAGAAAAAAAAATAAATCATCCACCCTCAGTTTAGGTTAGGAGCTAAAATACTGAGGGGTTTGAAACCATGCAAGGTGCTCAGAGGAGATAAGCAAGACACAAAGTAAGCATGTTCAAGTCCTGGGGAGATTCCTTGACAGATATGTAGCTTGCAGTTTGCATGAGGTGAAATCCAAAGTCTTCGTTCCCTGTTTATTTAACACTTGCTCAGATAAATCTCAGCAAAGTGAGAGAATTTACAAAATTAAGATCCGCGTGCTATGATGTATTATATATCCAACATACCATATTTTATACTGAAGTACCAAAGCAAAATTACAGAGAAATAAACCAGGAAAAAGATAAAATGCCACAACAGACTAATTTATGGTTTTTAGGTTCCTACTCAGGTCCTAATCTAGCAAAAAGCTTGGCTATTTTAATCAAAGATTGCTGAAGCAAGATCCACCCTTAGGACTTGCTCTATACGGGTAGCAGGACAAACCAATTGGCTCAATATTGACAAGAACTCTGTTTGCTTTGCAGAAATTAATGCTAAGGGACTCATCCTCAAGGCATTTGAACAGTATCGACTCAAAACCTGTATTGATTTCAAACCTTGGGAAGGAGAGGAGAATTATATATCTGTGTTCAAAGGAAGTGGGTAAGAAGAATAATATGATTGTAATCCTTTTTGGCTACAGACTGTTTTTATGACCAATATTCACTCTAAAACTCATCTGATTGCTATTTTCTAGTTTTGTTGTGTCCTATTACTAGTTTCCTTTCCTTTCCTTTCCTTTCCTTTCCTTTCCTTTCCTTTCCTTTCCTTTCCTTTCCTTTCCTTTCCTTTCCTTTCCTTTCCTTTCCTTTCCTTTCCTTTCCTTTCCTTTCCTTTCCTTTCCTTTCCTTTCCTTTCCTTTCCTTTCCTTTCCTTTCCTTTCCTTTCCTTTCCTTTCCTTTCCTTTTTTTTTTCTTTTCTTTTCTTTTTTAACTTGAAATCATAGTAGCATCCAAAACAGGTATTACCTTGGTGGTAATTAACAATTTCTGGCTGATGTTTATTTCTAAATACAAGAAGTAATTAAGTCCTTAAAGAGGTAATTTTCTTGGCATGACAAAAGATCTGAGACAAGCCAATTACTTTCTTGACTGATCTTTGACTATATGGACTGTCACTTTCACATGGCCATAAAAAGCATACCTTAGTTTTTAGAAAAAAAAAAAATAAATATTCCCAGTGGAAATGTGATAGTTTTAACTGTGGGACAACAAATTTGTTTCACTATAACAAATGGAATTGTGTTTGAACAATGTCAGGTCTGCATTCATATATTTTTAAATGCTGCACAACATTGAGACATTTTATGGAGATTTCAGTTTATTTACCTATTTGATCAATAGTTATGCTATTTCACCTCAAGTTTTACAAAATAAGATTCTAGAAAAGGTGTCAAAATTGTATCAACCTTTTCAGTTTCTAAGATAGTCTCCACCAAATAGTGCAACAGAACAAATATATTCCCCAAGTAATGCTGGAATATTTCTCTCATGTCAGAAAGGAGAACAGGGAAATCCTGATAGCCTTGTGAGGATATTTACTTTCAGAAAATAATTTCCTGATACAAGAATGCATTCACAAATGGGAAAAGATTTTCTGATAATTGAAACATTTCCCATTCCCTTTATCTTGTTCTGAGTTATTTGTAGCAGATAATTGTTTCAAAATTTCTTCAGTCTCTGTCTCTTTACATTTTCTACTCTTCGTGCTATGCACGTGACATTGAAACTCAACCCTAAAAGATGTATAAGCGGAGATTTGGGAAGCAATGTGTTTTCCTTGTTTAATTACTCTTTGGCTCTTTAAGCCAAATGGAAAACTCATGTAGCTAAACTCTAGAGTTCTTTGTCACATAAATCATGCATTTTCTAGTAATTGTACATGAAAAAAAAAAAAAAAAAAAAAAAGAACCACAATATTTAGCCTATGGCAATTCAGAGACTTCTGCACTATGGTTCATTTATTAACTTATTATTTATTTCCTATTAGAAGTAAATGAGTCATGGTGATTAAAACAAGTCACATTATTTGGATAACGTGTCTTGCCTTCTTGCCTGGCGTGTTGCTTGCCCTGAAATGATTCTATTATCTCAGTTACCACAGTTATCATAGCACTAAAACTATCCATGGTCACCATACTTTTTACAAGCCTGAAGCTAAATCTGCAGACTCCTGAAAATGGCTGTCCAGTTTCAGTGAGCTAGCTTTGGGCTGTACAAAGAAATTACCAGAACAAACCCTGCATTAACTGCCTTACATTTCATTCCATTCCTATGGTCTGGTATGGACAATGTAAAGAATACATGAAACAAACCATTTCCACTCTGCCATTCCTAGTTTTATTTTTGTCTCCCCTGGCTGCAGACTGAAGAACTCAGTCCAGAGGGTACAGCACACATAGAAGCACAAAGGTCCTGGCAACCACAGCCAGATTCATAAAGCTTTATTGCACCAACAAAAAGACGATAAATTATTTTCACCTTTCTGATCTGGCTTGCATCTATGAAAAGTACAGAAGAAGGTGAGGGAACTTTCCTAGTAGATCACAAAATTCCCTTATGGATTATCTTTTTGAATTCAAATGAAGTCAGCCACAAAGGAAACCACTTGTCATTTTTTTGTCTGCCCTGTATAAAAACAATCCTGCAGTCTCTGGTATATATACACAGTGTCATCAAACCCTACATAAAAAGCCCTCCCCTTGTCTACATAGTTTATCTAACATATGGTAGCATGTGGCTACCACTTCTGTTATGTTTACAGATTTATATATTTATATCACTAAGCAAGTAGAGTTATATGTAAGGTTTTCTATCATACAGTCTGTCACCTCATCCCTCTATTCAGGTCTATGCATTTGCAGCAGAGGTTAGACTATGGATCTATTTAAAGATCTTTTCTTTCTTCCTTCCCTGTGGTAAGCAAAATACATGAGGAATGCTTGTGAATGACAGAAATGCAGGAGCATCAGATGTGGCATGTACCCACAAAGCTCACATAACCATCTGGAAAATTGCAATGGATGTGACATTTCTAGTCTTCTCATGAAAAACGGGACTTATTCAGCAAGAAAACTAGCATGGTTTGGTCAAATGATTAGCAGACCAGGGAGGATCAACCCTTGTCTCTAGTATTTCCAGATGGGAAATCAGGTTTTCATGGAGCTGTCCTAGGAGTTCACTTCAGCTCTTTGCCACTGTGGCACAGGACAAAGGAACCCATACGAAAGGGGATTGATACAGATGGTAACCATCTGTAAGAAGCTAACCAGCTTGCTGCTGGTAAGTCAAAGAGTCTGTGTGCTGACCTGGTGATCTGTGATGCTACAGGTAGTCATTTGCTGGGAGGATGTTTGTGTAAAAATGTGCCTGGAATAACTGATACTAATAATTTGTAGACAGTATCATCACTCTTGATGGCATGTATCACCTTATCACGTGTCTTCCAAAAAGCAGGCTGGTGATATTAGTGTGATCAGTTATATCCATGCTCTTCTAGAAACCAGCAGTGCAGAAAGCATCAAATTGGTGAAACAGGCTCTAACAAGCATGGAGAAACTGACATTTTCCACCATTTTCTCCCTTCCTAAAGACATCACTCCCATGGGGCGGCCCCAGGTGTCCCTTGTCCCACTTGCATGGTTTTATTCTCAGCACTGAGTGATGCAGAGTGCACATTTACTCCTTCTGTAGTTGCAGAATGATGGTGTTGTAGGCATTTGGCAGACTGAAGGCAAGGCGATGCTGCATCCTCTGGTGTTTGGATGCTGATATTAACAGGTGTCCAGGATGTGCTTGTAGCCTGCTGTGCTCTGCACAGCAGCTGCGAAGCCAGAGGAGTCTGCTTTGGTATAAAGTGGGCCCAGAACTATAATGGACTTCTTAGACTTTTGCACAATCAGAAAAAAATGCATAATCAATATGAGCCTACGTTCAAGGGAAGCCAGTGAAATTATGTATGCTGTATATGCTCCCTCCCAGGCCTCGTGCTGTGATTTTAATGAGTAATCAATAGCTAAGGCCTGTGCTGGTTTGTGGAAAGAGAAATCCCATAGAGTATTTTGCACTAATAAGTTGCAGGGTCCTACAGTGCCTGGTGTGCTTGCTTTTTACATTTCTGGAGTGATGGGACTGCAAATTCTATGGTGTATTTTGTGCCCTATTAATTTTATGGACTTCATTGGGTAGGTATTGATTTATTTGCTGCGTAAAATATCAATTTAAATGTGTTTGCTAGTTTGTGGACATGGGGTGCCATTTTATTGGCTTGTGCAGATAGCTCACAGATTTATTTATTTATTTATTCCTTAATAAAAACTTCCCGCATAGCTGTGGTTTTGCACTGTTTTGTGAGTGTGTGTCAGCAACAAGTGCCCTAGCACCACCTCTCACAAATAGCAGGAAAGAAAAGAGGTTATGCAAAGCCCTGTCACACCCACCAGCCTTTCAGAAGTGCGATCCCCTGGGGTGGACCTGGCTTGACAGTCGCAACAGTAAAGCAGAAGGGCAGCACAATGTGGAGAGGCAGCTGCAATGGCAGGGGTGAGAAGTGACATGGCCATGGTTTGCCTGGCAATAAGGCAGGCCCAAAGTGTGCCTGCAGTCAGTTACGGTGGTCCAGCTTAGTAGCAGCAACTTGGTAATTTGCAGTAAATAAATTCTTTTAAGTCATGTGCCCATAGTCTTTGATGATTGTCCTTGTTGCTTTTTTTCTGCTACAAGTAGTTAGGCTTTTTTTTTTTTTTTTCTTTTTCTTTTTTTCTGCTGCTAAAGAAAACCCATTAAAAGCAATCCAGACAGAGTGGGAGAACTGCTTATTCATTGAAGCAGAGCTAAGTGTGGGAGGAAGGGATCCAGTAAGGAAAAGATCAATGAAAAAGTGCTCACTGTAGAAAATGTAACTTTAGCACTCAAAATGTACCTGTTGAACAGGCTGAATCTGGAGTTCGTGTGGCACAGGGGTGGCATGTGCTTCACAGATCTATCTTCAATTTTATTTCCACATTAGTTGCTGGTCCTCAGTGGGAAACCGCCAGATGGGCTTGCAGCAGCTCTCGATCGGAGAGAACTGTGACAGGATTGGGACCATTCAGCACGAGTTCCTTCACGCACTGGGCTTCTGGCACGAGCAGTCGCGGTCTGACCGGGATGACTACGTGTCCATCATCTGGGACAGGATTCAGTCCGGTCAGTCACTCCCCTGGGTTCTCATTTGGGCTCTGGTGTGATGTATTTTGGGTGTGGAACACCTCTTCCTGCCTTCATACCATGACTGAAATATTTTCCCACCTTGACTTATTTTTCAAGGCCAGCATATCAAGAAATTAAATGTCAAGTGGCATCTGTCTGGGACAGACAGCCTCATTTGTTGTTGCTGTGTTTATTACTCGTGTCACAGCAGTTCCCAGGATCCTAACCAGAGATTTGAGGCCTACTGTGCTAAATGCCATACAGGCAAGCAACAGAGAGAGTAATTTCATTTGTTTGATACTATAAAATCGCTATTAGTGAGGGAGCCTTTAAATAATTAAAAAATAATCCAGCCCTACAAAATTTGGTGTGACCAAAACCAGCAGAAAATCTGGAGGGAAAGGGTCGTCTTTTCTCTTTCTCCCCTGCTTACATGCCCGGGGAGGGCACACAGCCTGGAGAGACCCTTTTTGGGTTCCCATCATGCAAGCTGTTATTTCGGCAACACAGCTCCCCGTTACAAGCACATTGTGGCCTATTTGGCACAAGCCAGCCTGTGGCACAGGGTTCCTTAGGGCTGTGATCGATGCTTGCTTCTTCAGCACACCACAATCCTCTGTGGCGTCCAGACAGCTTTGAAAACAAGCCTGAGCCTGGACATGGTGCTGGCTTGGCTCAGGCACACTCAGAGGACTTGCAAGCCCATTGATGTTTATGAGTAGCTTCATGGTGAAAAGATTTCTGATAGGAAAGATCCTTCCTTCATGCAGCAGATGTCATCATGTTACATTCCAGTGGTTGAAAAGGGAAGCTAAATAAATCTAGGCTAGAAATAATATAGTTTTACAGAGTAAGTACAAGCAAATGATTACCAAAATTCACTTGGGAGATTCTCTGACACTTAAAGTATGTACATCAAAACTTGGTCATCTTCAGCAATAAACAATTTGTCCTTTTATTTTTCCCATTCAGGTAAAGAACATAATTTCAATAAATATGATGATAAAACATCAGACTCCCTGAACGTTCCCTATGACTATACATCTGTGATGCACTATAGCCAAACTGCATTCAGGAACGGGACTGAACCAACAATTGTAACAAACATTCCAGACTTCATGGATGTAATAGGGCAGCGAATGGATTTCAGCGATTATGATCTCCAGAAACTGAATCGGCTGTACAATTGCTGTAGGTTTCTCCATTTCCTATAAATTCTTTGCTTCTGGTAGTTGAAAGAACTAAGGGTGATACCTACGTGCTGGACTCATCCAGTCACAAGTTAAAGATATGCAAACATATTTGGAGAAGTGAAAAACACCAGAAATAATGGTGTTAAAAACACCAGAAATAATGGTACAGCTAGAAATAACGTAGCCCTCCTGTGGAAACACTGCTGTGTAGCTGAGTTTTCTGTGCAGTTCTATTTGACCTTTAGTTAAAAACCAGTTTCTCTCAGCAGCTGATTTTGTTCATCCCTTCGGTGGCTGTTTAAAATATGTGCTTCTGAAAAAAGGGTTTGTTTTTTTTTTTTTTTCTTCACCCCCATTATTCCACAGCTGTTGTTCAGACAGCATACAGAAACGAGTGTTTTTGCTGTGGCGTTCATACCTACTCAGCTCTCATGCAGTCTATGAGACACAATGTGTGTTCATGCAAACAGATTATGGATGCTGTTATGAAGAAAATGTGAGCATTAAAAATTTTTGGTCTTAGTTTCAAACCAGCCCCTTAGAAAAGTAGTCAAAAGAGTGGTTTTGCTTGCATGGGATTTCTTTTAGAAAGTTGAGTGGAATATAATTCTGCTGGGCAATATAATTCTGAATGTGTGAAAATTCTATATTGGGGAATGTAATTCTGAATTGTGACTGCATCAGTTGTGCCTTGGCACTCAGATTAGAACATTTACTTCATTACCTCAGTATAGCGAGAAATGAGTAAGGTCTTGCAATTACAATTTAAACCTCAAACAACTGATACTTTAAATATTAATCAAACCAGTTAATTAAAACAATATAGTTTTATGAGTATATGGTTCTGATGGAAATATTTCTGTTCGCATGGGTCTAAACCAAACACACACTTACACACAGCCTTAGCTTCCAGCACTTGACGCACAGTCAATTAGCTCTTACATAAGTGCTTAAAGCTAAGGATGTCTTTAATAGCAGACAGGGTCCTTCTTACTCTCTATTAATCTTATATGCTTTCCATCATTCTCACATATTATGTAAAAGCTTCATGACATTATAACTTTATTCTTAAACAAAAATCATATTTCCTTGGTGAAAGAAGCCCCATACATGCTGGAACTAGTGACAAAACTCCCACCACCTTCAGGGCAATCAGGATTTACCCTTCTCCCTGCTCTGTCCCTTAGCATAGTATAGGGTGTGTGATATTCACAGAGCCCTAAGTGGTCTTCAGAACACCCACTGTTTACTCAAGTGGCCCTTGTGCCATGGAGGACAGGTTTTTCATGGGTCCCAGCTCTCATCCACCCAGCTGCTAAACTGATACTTTCAAGTTAGAGGAAAGATCAAGAATGTTCTTCCAGAGGAATCAAAAGATTGCTTTTTTTTGCTGAGCAGGATTTTAGGAAAACAGGATTTTAGGAAAACTTTAAGCTGAATTCCTGATAAATGCCTTTGAGGTTAGGAATTGACATTAAAAATTGAAAACTTGGTTCTTAAACTGAAACAAACAAACAAAAAACAACAACCTACAACCAACAGCATAAATATTCCTGACTAGTACTTTAGTTCTGCTCTGGTTTCTTCTTCAGAACATATGATAAAGATATATTTCAGAATGTTTTCCCTTTCTAGCATATTAAGTAACAGAAAAGATCATGACGTTACTCAGCCACTGGAAGCTAGGACTCATCCCCCCATGTACTGTCTTCCAGTCCAGCCTTTCACTAAACAGTGAGAAAGTATCTGTCTTTTAGTGCAGTTGTCATTCAAAAACCCCCTTCTCCTGTGTCATTAATTAATCTAAGAAATGGATCGAATGCTGTTGGGTCTTGCTTTTCTCTCTTCTTGTCCTTCAATGCCATGCCAGTCAGCACAGCTTTCCTGTTTGGGCAAACTGTTTTCATGTTTTGTTTCATGTTTTGATTTCAAAGAGTTCTTTCATTTAATAATCCCCAATTGTTCTTACTTTCTTGCTGACATCCTTGCTGTTTTTTTATTTATTTTCTTCTTCCAACCTTCGATATAACATTTACTGTGAAAACCTCTCCCCTCCCTCCTTTTTTTACAGCCTTGTATAAATACTGTATCTTAAAAAGTATCAGTTAACAACACTCCTGATAGCCTTGCTATCTTACAGAGTATTGTTAGATTTCTATGAGGACAGTACAAAATAGCTCAGCAGTGCAAGTGATTTGGCAGCAATTAAAATTTAAGTGCTTCCCTGAGCTACAGTCTAAGTGAAACATTTGGCATGCCATTGAGGTTGATTTTTGTGATACTCAAGGTCTTTTTTTTTTTTTTTTTTTTTTTTTTTTTTTTGTGGTGCAATGAAACCTTTAAACCTGCCACAATATTCTATACATAGGCTGAAGAGCAATAATCATGAAACATTTTATTAACTTAGTTGTTTTCAAACCATAGCTGGTGTTACACAGAACTCAGCTGTAGTACAACAGGAACAAATCTGAGAATAGGGATAAACCTGGACTGTAGGTCTGTGTCTTCCCTTACTCATTCAGAGTTTGATTTAAACAGAGAAAACATTTCATACAGTATTTTCCCTTTCCTAGTCAACAGCAGTCTTCCATCGCTTTATTTTTGACTTGTTGATATGCAAACCAGATCTTCAAAATTGTATGAGATGAGATATCCACCAGCCTCAAATGTACCTTTGCCAAATGTTTTTCCAATTCAGCATTTTGAAAATCAAGCAGAATGACCAATTAACCATTGCAGTGAAGTAGCTCTTGCTGTACCGTATTTCAAAATAAGTGCTCCAGTAGGTAAGTTAGTGAAGCTTTACCAAAAGCTGTGACCATGTATCACAGCCTAAAGAAAGCAGAGGAGGGAATGGGAAGTCCTTAGACCTTTTGGCTGTGTGAAGGTCGATATGTCATGGCTGGTATTAGTGTTCCTTTTATAAATAAAAGATATCATATGATAATTAGCTGGCAACCTCCTGTGCTTGCTAAGTGCCCATAGTGGTCCTGATGACATCTTATTAAAGTCAATGTTAATTGCCAAATGCTTTGAGTTCCTGAACGTTATATGTATGAATGCTGATGGTATCTGAAGCCAGTGATTATTTCGTATTTGCATTTCTTAGTCTCTGCTCTTGACTTTGAATATCTTGTACTAAATGTGTGCCATGTAACAGAGATTCACACTTTAATTTATTTATTTATTTAATATTACAGCCTCCTCCCTAAGTTTCATGGACACATGCAGTTTTGAACTTGAAAACATTTGTGGCATGATTCAAAGTTCAGATGACAGCAGTGATTGGCAGCGTTTGTCTCAGGTTCCTACTGGGCCTCATACTGATCATACTAACATGGGAGAGTGCGAAGGTATGAAAAAACACTGTTCTTATCTCTCTGGGAAATTTTTTTCTGCAAAGGCAAGTGAATTGACTTTGCTCTTGGCCTTGTTCTGTGTTTATTTGTTGACAGACTACAGTTAACTTTTGAACCAAGCAATATAAAACTATATAGTTAGGGACACCATGTGACACATTCTGTTTTCTGCTTATTAGAGAAGATTCAATGCTCTTATCTCTTTTGATCTGTTCTTTAGTCTTAGTGTCACATCCTCAGAAGAGAATTATGTAAAGTGTTCTATGGTACAGGCACATCAGAAAGACTGCTGCTTTTCTGAATAATTGCTCAGTAAATTTTTGGAAAGGATTGGGATTTAGAAATTACATATATTATCAGGGCTCAGCTGAGCAATCCACAGAGAATCACAGAATCATAGAACCACTGAATGTCCTGAGGTGGAAGGGACCCATAAGGATCACTGAGTCTAACTCCTGGTCCACACAAGACCACCCAAAACCAGACCATGTGTCTGAGAGCATTGTCCAAATGCTTCTTGAGCTCCAGCAGCTCGGTGCCATGACCACTGCCCTGAGGAGCCTGTCCCAGTGCCCGGCCACCCTCTGGGTGCAGACCCTTTCCCTAACCCCCAGCCTGACCCTCCCCTGTCCCAGCTCCATGCCGTGCCCTCGGGTCCTGTCGCTGTCCCCAGAGAGCAGAGCTCAGCGCCTGCCCCTCCACTCCCATCGTGAGGGAGCTGCAGGCCACCATGAGGCCTCCCCTCAGCCTGCTCTGCTCGGGGCTGAAAAGAATGTACCAGTTATTTCCTAACTTGTCAAAGAAAACTGTGAGTTAGGAGCTTAAACCAGTCCTCCAGAGAGAACATCAACTGTGAATCACTGGCTCTGGGTGAACAGTTAAATGAGAGCACCCAAGTTTTGAGTACAAATTTCTAGAGACAGACCAAAAAAAAAAAGTTCGAAGAACAGTTCTGCCTCCGAAGAACATGAACAAGTAACAGCCCTCGCTCTGAAGATTTGTACAGGATCTAGCTTACCATAACCCTAACTTTACTGTCTTGTAGCATTGTTACAATATGATGTTTACAATACATGTGTACCAAGGAAAATTTTGTTTTCACTCCTCTCTACCATTCATTTCTCATTTAATTTTGACAGGTTCGGGCTACTTCATGCATTTCAATACCAGTGCTGTCACACAGGGAAGCACAGCTTTCCTGGAGAGCCGGATTCTGTATCCCAAAAGAGGCTTTCAGTGCTTGCAATTCTATTTCTATAACAGTGGAAATGAAAGTGATCTGCTCCGTGTCTGGGTCAGGGAGTATTCTTCAGCCGATCCAAATGGTACTTTGAGATTCATTGAACAGATAAAAGGTATGGAATAAAGTTTCATTTTGGTTTAATCTATACTTGGTATCCTTTTCAAAGTTTGGGAGAAAATATTGTATCAAAGTGACTCATCTCCTAGTTTTATTCTTTTGTTTCTTCTCTGACTATGTAATTGAATCTCTGCTGGTGAAATTATACTTGATGGATCCTCAGTCAACCATTCTCCTATAATATAATCAATTACAACAAATTACAAACTCTTGCATTATGAAGATAGTTTTCTCACCAAAATAGCTAAAATTCCATGAGCAGTCATTTTGACTGTTATAGAATTGCTGGTATCAATAGCAACAGATGAAGTTGGTCATTAGACTAAATTACAATGAATAAGAAAGAAGTAATAAAGAAATGGAAAGTGTAAGTGCCCTGGAATACCTAACATACAAAGATTAAAAAAAAAAAAAAAAAGTAAAAAAAAAAAAAGTAAAATTCAGCTTACTTTTAAAGCACAGTTTGGAGTGACTTATCTGAAATACAGAATCATAGTATCATTTCAGTTGGAAAAGATCCATAAGATCATCAAGTCCAACCATCACCTAGCACTACCAAATCTACCACTAAAGCATGTCCTTAAGCACCATATCCAAGTCTCTTAAATACTTCCAGGGATAGCGAGTCTACCACCTCCTTGGGTGGCAGACCATTTTAACTGTATTTTGAAGAAAATCAAGTTCTTGAAGTTTTAGGAGCCTATGGTCTGCAAAATGAGCAACAGATGTCAGTTGATGGATAAGAGGTCCTTAAACTTAATCCAAAGTCACCTTTTGATTAAACCATATTCTCTGATATTTCACTATTATTTGATCTCCACTGCAGCTACAACTAATTCAGTCTGTTAGTTACACACAGGTCTTGGGGAACTCTTTTACACAGTAGATATAAAGTCTGCTTCTTCTGCCTCTTTCTGTGCCTTTAGGCTCAGCTACTACTCATACCGGTTTACAAACCCCAAACAGTTTTTGCTGTTCTGCAGCAGCTTTGGTTGCCTTCAGCCAGGAGCAGGGCAGGCAATGGGGGCAGGACATTTTACACTGCACTAGCTGTTTTGCTCATTGAACATGAGTCAGAAACACCGGTCGTGCATATAATCCGTGCACTTCAAATAGGTGTTACTTAGTGCAGAAGAAAATGTGATGGAAAATAGCAGGGTGTTTTGTTCTTATTTCTGGGTTTGTTTTTTCTCCTCCTAATTAAAACAACAATAATGAAAAACAGCAAAAAAAAAAAAGAATGAGATTCATATCGGAGATGAATTATATTGTGTTTAGAACTGTTAGGAAAGTGAAGTATGAGTTCTGTACTTGGGATTGGCACTGCCTAGTCCAGAAATGTAGCTGAAAGCCTCACCTTCCATTCAGGTGAACAGAAACCAGCCAGCAAAAGAAATTATTTTGCTGCACGTACTATTAACAAAGGATGTCCTACTTTCATTTCTTTCACTTGCCTTAAAAGGCCTGTGTGCAGAAGTCTTTGCTGCTGTGCAAACTGGTCTTGCAGTCAAGTGGGATTTACTAGTGCAGGTACTTCTGGACACAGCATCAGATTTACACTGAGGTTTTATCACATGAAGTAGGTTTTACAATTGCCTGGCTCTAATTTGAACTTAATATCATTTGATGGGTGAATACTGATTCTGCAGAGGCAAATTTCCAGCAAGCTATTTAAATATTAAAAAAAAATATAAAATTAAAAACAAAAGTAATAATGAATGAACAAATCTTGCAGTTCTAGGTACCAAGAATCCTCTGCAGCTTTTTTTTTTTTTGATTGATTGATATCTGTTGTTATTCATTTATTTAAATATATTTGGCTCTGATTTATTTCTTTACAATACTACAGGTGACACTTTGTAAATTTAATTATCACAACATTTGGACTAATTTAATGTAATGCTTTTTAATAATATAAAAGAAAAAAAAGTCTGAAGACATTACCATTGTTTTCACTCTAATTAAAGAGCTGCTATGCATAATAAATCTGGTGAAAAAATGAATCGAAAGAATACATTCTTGCACTGAAAAAAGTAACATCTAGAAGAAAAATGTTTCATCACTTCAGCACCAGTGGAACTGAGGAATTCATACATAGCATTGCGATAGGCTATCTGGACCCATACAGTGTTTGTACCGCTTACTTAGAAATCCCTACTCTTGTTTTTCAGGTGCACCTGCAAATTACTGGCAGCTCCATCACGTTTCTTTGAATGTCACAAGTAAATTCCGGGTGGTGTTTGAAGGTGTGAGAGGAACTGGCTTGTCAAATGGAGGCCTCTCTATTGATGACATCAACTTGTCAGAAACACAGTGTCCTCACCACGTCTGGCATATCAGAAATTTCACTCATCTCCTCAACACGAGTCCTGCAGGGACAGCAGGACGAATATACAGTCCACCTTTTTACTCTAGTAAAGGATATGCTTTTCAGGTCGGCTTGTATGTAAATGGTACCGCTGATAGCCCATTTAATTTAGCAATCTACTTGCATTTGATTTCTGGAGCAAATGATGATCAGTTGCAATGGCCCTGTGCATGGCAACAAGGTACCATGATTCTGCTTGACCAGCATCCTGATATTCGTCAACGGATGTCAAACCAAAGAAGTATAACAACAGACCCTCAGAAATTAACAGGTTAGTTGAATTCAGATGTTCTATCCAATACATTTAAAACACAGCCAAAAGACAAGGAGTCAAATTTTCTCTTTGTGTAAATTAGTTCAGCTTTTTTAGCTTCTGGAATGGGTCATTTCCTTGCAGCAGCAATACAATTGATCCACAGGCAAGAAAAATTTAAACATGTAAGTAGGTTAAGCTGGGACCCTCGGTTTTGAAGTAGATTCACATAAGAGGTGGGGCATCCAAGCCTAACAGTTTTTTCATATGCTCTGTGAAGATGCATTTGTATCTGCTTTAATGATAATGCAAGTCTTCCAGAAGGCTTGAAGAGAAAAATATTGCATTAACAATATGCACAGTTGATAGCAGATAAAATTTAGCCATTAAACACATCATCTCCCTCCTTGCAAAAGGAACTGGTGTCAGCGCAAATCCAGAAACCAGATGGACAAAGTACTGATTCATATTACATAATCTGCACTTGGTTGAGGTGTGACAAGATAAGGAGCAATTGCCCACAATAACTTGGGAAGGAGGCAGTTTAGGTAAAGGTGTAGCTCTGAGAAATGTTAGGAAACTCTATAAAGAGAGATATTAAATTAAAGCCACATATTCAGCACTGGATAAAGATTGAATTTAAGCCAAAATGACTTTCTGCATCAATATAAGGATTTTGCCAAAAGAAACCACCTCCACCCCTGAATTAGTTTCCTGTTAATTCTGACTACAATATTCATAAAGGAAGGAATGCACTAAAATTTCTATTTCTTGGAATTATTTAAAAAATAATAAGCCATAGATGACAGTCATTATTCTCTGACACTCTGTTTCTACATTAAAACAATGTGGGTAAACTAGAAAGACTAAATGACCTCCCCTGATCACACCAGGTTCCCCACAGATGGTTCGCATTTTCCCTGTGCTCTCTGCTGTTATGGCCACAGCTCTCAGCCCTTTTTGATGCTGTGGATTTGCAGTCTGTTTGTGCTCTGCCTCTTATCCCTTGTTTACTTATGTATTGCTTGTAGCCCCAGATTCCCAAGATAAACCTTGTAACTCTTACCCTTTCTCTAACCAGTAGACCTACTGGAGCAAGCAGTTCAATCTCGTTGTCAGATACTTAGACAATCATGCTCAGCTTTGAGATTTTAGATTTAAGGTCTGATGAAGATCTTAAATGTCTGGGACATCAGCAGTTTGTGACCACTTGCATTGTTCAAGGACCCTCTGTCCTCCATCTACATCAGCAGATGCTCATCTTTTTTTTTTTTTTTTTTTTTTTTTTTTTTTTGAGAATCACTGTATTAATACGTTTTATATCTTCTTGCCCACTATACTTGAAATGGACTAAAAGAAAAAATAACACAGTAGGTTTTCAACCAGCACTCCAATAGCTTCATCTCCAGCAGGCTCTTTTCTCAGTACCTCAGACCAACCCACTGAAAAACTTCATTGCCTTGTGTGTCTCATCAATGTGGAATCTCAAACAAAAAAATCTACAAATTGTAGGCAGTTCCAGCATTGTTTCTACTCCTTGAGTTTCAGGTAATTTATTCTCATCTCCCTCTTCATGACATCCATGAGCAGAACAGGCAAAATAGGGGATGGTTTGTCTTGAGTGTTGAGAGAGGACTTAGTACTACTTTGCAGCAGAGATTAACTGAGAAGAAAAGAACCCTATTGAGAAAAAAATCCAGAGCGATCCCACTCTTTTTTTTTTTTTTCCCTTTTTTTTTTTTTTCTTTTTTTCAGCGTCTTCATCAAATTATTTTTGGGATAGGCCAGATAAAGTGGGATCAACAGCTTACTTTCCCAATGGAACTGCATTCATGAGAGGTCCAGGAAGTGGAACAAGTGCATTCTTAACTCATCAGAGACTCAGAAGTCGCGACTTTATTAAAGAAGACGGTATTTATATTCTTTTAACAATGGAAGGTATGTGAACATTGATGGTAACTGATATTCTTAATAATACAGAAGATACACAGTGTCACATACTAACTAGTCATAGGTACTGTAGATATAAATACATTATGTACTTTACACAAGAGCAATTTTGGTGCTTCTTATGTATCTAAAGTCAAATCATGTGTAAATAAATGTGTGGGTAGCTACATCCTTTTTCTAATCCATTATCTCATGTGTAGGTTGAAATCTAAGTGTATAAAATGATGCTACTCCTGTGCAATTATTTTGAATAGCATACTTTGAGATTGTCTGTTTAAAAAATTAAAGAAATTAGGACATTTCCAAAATACATCATGCTCTTGAAAGTTAAGACTTTTTATCCATTATACTAGAGGAAGATGTAGGGTAGTTCGCAGGATCTCTGCTCTTTATTATTAGAACTTACAATTAAAATAAGAAGGATAAAAACAAACAAAAAAAAAGAAAAAAACCACATAAAGTAAATGCCTTGTTTCTTGTGTTTTCTCATGCAGATATATCACATCTAGTATCAACTCAGCCAAGTGTTTCACCAACCTTTGTCATGAATACTTCCACTGCCAACACTGTTAGACCTACCACCACCACCACCATCACCAAGCCCACCACCACCACCACCACCAAGCCCACCACCACTACCACCAAGCCCACCACCACCACCACCAAGCCCACCACCACCACCACCACCACCACAGCTAAGTCTACCACCACCAAAACACCCGAGGAGCCAGACATAGATACTCCAGACTCCTGTCCAGACAACCCATGTGAAAATGACGGTGTCTGCGTTATTGTAGATAGAAAAGCAGTGTGCAGGTAAATGTTTTTATTCACTCAAATACAATTTTAGTAATGAAAGCTTCTAGTAGAGTTTTTGTTGTTGTTGTTGTTTTGTTTTGTTCCTAATGAAAGGAAAGACAGTCAGCTAATTAAAAATATATATATCCAAAGTCTATTACTACAAGAGACTTATGACCAGTTTGGGCAACAAAATTTCTATCCCTAACATTTGACCATTTTGATGTACTTTGTTTGACTTTTCTGTAAATTATATTTAGAATGTACTTCTTATTTTGAGTGATATGTTAGTCCAATGTTATAAAATGGACTGCACTTCTCCTCAGAAGTCTATAGCAAAATCAGGAGTTCAATATAAATGCACTTGAAACAAAATAACATTTGTATCAGGAGAAAGTATTTTTAATATGTCTCAGGCAGTGTAAGTAAAATAGCTTTATTTTAAAATTTTATTCAGAAATATTGTGTAGAGCAAATTATGACAACAAATTAACCAATTCTAGTCGCTTGCCTTTTAAACCAGTGTTGAAAGCTGAGTACCAAAATGCTTGTTTACCCTGCAAGAAAATGAATAGCAACTTTTATTTAATCCTCTGTGGATTCATTTATGCAACCCACCTGGCTGATTAGCATTGTTCCTGCTCTCAGACAAACTCTAAGGCTGAAGATAGTAACAACATGCTGTGAAGCAGTGCCAAGGCAGGTAGACTGGGGGAGTGCTGTGAGGCAAATGTCTAAAGGCCAAGAACAACAAGAGCTGGTATGACTCACTGTTGTATCTCCCCATTTAGGAATCTTTTAAAAAACAATTCTGTAAAGGGGCTTGTGCAACACATCAGAAACAGGTCATGAGTGCGAGAAAATGTCAAGAAGCTGTTCCAAGAAGACCAAAAAAAAATAAATCTGAACGTTATGCTTGATTTTAGAATTTTCTGACATCTGTGGTCTGTTTGAAGCTCAAGTGCCTATGTGTCCTACATGCCATGCTGGAGAAATGTGTTACCAGCAGTCACTTTATGCTCTAGTTTTCTACTGGAAAACTGGAGGGGGTGTGATAATAACTCTCTTTAAGCCTGATCACGTAAAGTCCAATGGAGTCATTTTCAGGGCTGAGCATATAGTTCTGAATAAATGATTTAGACAGGCAATGGAAAAACAATAACATAAAGAACAATAAAGGGTTAGAAAGATGTGAATTCAGGTGTGAATTCAGCAGTACTGCACATATATTTTTTTCAGTTACATCATTGGGAGCCTCACATGCTCATAATAAAAAGTTTCAGAGCTGAAGGTCATACTGAGTAAGGTGAAGGACTCAAGGCTTGGAGGCTGTGTTTAGTACAAAACCAGAAGATTGCTAGAATGTTAATATTGCCTTCTTTAGGGGAAGGCAGAGACAGCTGACACATGTTCTTAGAAAATAAGCCCCTTCTGGCAATGAGAAAGTCTGATCAGAACTTACCACATCTACTGACAGAGAAGTACTGAGCAGGGAGAGGGCAATGTGATGGGTCAGTCTTAGAAAGGGAGAATTCCTGCACCTAAATTTTGCTTCAGTTACTATTGATGATGCAGAGTCTGGCCTGCGGTCTTGACCCCATTTATCTTGCAAGTTCAAATTGCTGCATAAGGTGAGATGAGACTTAAGAAGGCAAAGATCATAAGAGGAATCAGGAGGATGAGATTTCCTGGAGGGTGGTAGATGTGACCTGATGGGGTAAGAGCAGTGTAAAGCTTCTGGACCAGTTTCCCTTGGAGTTTATTCAACTACTACCTATAAAGGTTTTCTTAACTGACTGAGTGATAGATAGAAGGGCTTTGTGTAAAAGCTGAGTGTGCCAAAAGGCAGAATTGCATCTGGATACGAGGGCAATTAGTATGGTGGAAGCAAATATTACAGTGGTAATATAGTGGTCCTAGTGACAGGTATCAATTTCATGGAGCGGAAAATGAGCTTTCTATCAGCAGAAGTGCTATAAACTTAAAGGAAAAGGAAGCAGATGAGTGCACTGAGTGATCCACAGGGCTTGTCTGTTGGTAGCAAAAGAAGACCATTATGTAGCAACAGCTCTGTAGATCAGCTGTGGCCAAGCCTGAAAAAGATAAAAAATAAAATAAAGTAAAATAAAATAGGCTGAAGCTTAGGCTTTCCAGCAAAGGCAGTCTTTGTCTTGCAGAAGAGATGACCTGTAAAACAGTGGGAAGCTGAAGAAAGGGCACAGTCTATCCAGATATGTAATCTGGGTATTATTTGGGATATAGAAACAGTGCATCAGATATGCAATATTTTAGGTAGTCTTTTCATACCTTCGATCTTTAAGTGAAGCCACGCATTTGTTCTTTTACTTTCTAGATGTCCAGCAGGGGACAACTGGTGGTACATGGGAGAAAAGTGTGAAAGGAAAGGCTCAACTCAAGAAAACACTATAATTGCTGTTTCTTCAAGCATAACTGTATTTGTTGTTATGCTTATTGTCACTATCACAACTGCGGTTTGCCTTAAAAAGAAATACATCAAAGGAAAGGAAAAAGCAGAGAGCCTGGCTCTAGAAGAAGAAGAAGTAAGTGCTTTGCCTTTTCAACAAAAATGATATATATATTTATTAAAAGTAAACAGTCAAATTCAGTAAAATGTAAACTGGAGTATGTCACATTTTTGAAGTCTGAAGACTCCAGTTTAGGAATTAAAGAGCTCTACTAAGTGCTACTAATTTTTCAAACACCAAAAAGCCACTTAATTCAAAACTCCTCCTCCACCCCCACCAATCTTACTGCCCTGATGGGAGCCTACATCGAGTGGGAGATCGTGAACAAATGTATTCATTTTCAGCTTGTGACTAAATTATGTCTTTCACTTAGTGAACTAGTATTTAATCTATTACTGCATTTTCTGCTAAAGATCTCCCCTGAAAACACCTGGATGTAACAGTAAAAGAAACCAACCCCAAATGCCAAAACAAAGACGCAAATTAATATCAATTTCCTTATTCAATGGACATTCTGTACACAAGGAACAATGTAGCCATGGAAATCATGGCTTAAGAACAGGTAAAAATAAAGAGAGCAGGTTAAAAAATGACTGGATCAGAAGTGAATAAGACGTCCAGGCTGGTTTTAATAGGAAGTTACATAAAGTCTCAGGCATCCAGACCCCTAGTTTAAACAGTGACTTAATCTTGGAAATAGCAAGAATGACATATCTTAGAGGGTCTTACAGGGCCCAGGAGAAATTTTGTGAGCAAATTGATGAAGAATAGCCTTCCAGAGATCAATCTGAATATTGTCCTAACATTGTTCCTGTGATGTCCTGTTGAAGTACACTATCTCTTTGGAATGCCAGATACTGTACTGTTAATTTATGTCTTCCAGAAAATTATTTCATTTGCTTTGAAAGTAATATTTTACACATACTTCCCTTCCTTATGTACTTGTCTTTTAAGATATGGTTTTTTTTTTTCCTATTTAGAATAAAACATCCTTCTGAAAATAATTCAAACAAGCATCAAAGACACAAGATGAAGATCATTGAAAAACCCCAACTATGTCATCATTCTTTCTGTTGTTTTAATCTCAGCCATCATGATAAAGGTTTGTAAAGTCTGGAAGATAATGCATCATCTGGATAAAATACTGGGCTAATGCCAGTGAAACTTCTGATGTTGTGTGTTTTTGCCATGCAATGGAGAAAGATAGAAATGTGTTTTGTGATATGCCTGTGTTGTCCTTTAAGTCTATCTGAACATGAAGGAAGCGTGTAAAACTCTGTCCTGACTTTGAATCTACACAGTAAAGTCCAAGCTTGCCATCTAGAGTTGCCCATCATATAAGGGAACTGGGCTCTGTGATCAAGGGACACACAGGAGTACTAAGTTCTGCTACAGCTGTCAGCAGTGAGAGAGTGTGGGGGGTGTGAGAACATCTGTTTCATGAAGTCATTTGGTTTTGATCTACCAAATAAAATAAATAAATAAATAAAAAGAAGTAATGAGGAAAGTGCTACATTAACCGCACAGACACACAAACACAGGAGACAATAATGAGGACCCAGAACTCTTCAGCCACCGATTGATGGGCCATTAAAGGAACTACTCAAGCATAGTCCTGAAGAATGTGAACCTGAACTATAAATCACAACTGATAAGACGGGGGAAACACAATTTGCATGAGTATTATGGTTTATTTGAGGCTTCTTGGGATATTGGCTATCAGAAGTGGATTATTGTGGGTTTATGTAAAAATTGTTATGGGACATTTAAGGGAAGAACAAAAGGGTCCAAAGGAAAGGAGAGGATCATGATGGATCAGAGAGGTATACATGTGAGAAAATGGTGCCAGCAACTGCAGAGACCAGCATACAAATGAGATCTGTGTGTCAACAACTGGAGGCGAGATCACAGGTCTTAGGGCACATGAGTCTGGATGCTAGCATGCGGAGGGATGGCAATGCAAGAAGTCTGTGTGCTAGTTAATGGGGGACTGTGGGCTGCAGAGCTTGGAGGTCTGAAATGCCAGTGACTGGAGGGACTGGTGTGTGTGTGTCAAAAGGTTGGAGTGCCAGCAGCTGGAGCCGAGGCCATGGGAACCATGGGTGTTGTTCTAGGTGGCAGCAACCAGAGAGCTTGGGGTGCCTGTGAGGGTGTAAGAAGCCTTAAGTGCTAGCAACTAGAGAGCTGTGCTTTATTTCCTCATTTAATTCAATCCTTTATTTGTGTGTGTATAATTAGTTAGCAAACCTCAAGCTGGACTAGCTGGCGAGCAGGAGGAAATGCACATATGGAAAGACTTTTGGTGTGAGCCGGTGGTTAGGTTAGGGAGCCCAGGGTTCAGATGTGGATATTAGGCAGACTAAGAGCTGCTGCCTACACTGCTCTGTGAGTGTGGCAGTCTGTGAGGCCAGCTGCATTAGGGATCTGCCTGTATGTGTACTATGTGTCTTGGATGCACGGTACCCTTGCTACAGGCAGACCTGCCAGCTGGAAGAGCAGCTGCATCCCTGGGACTGGGATGAAGAGATCATCTGGGCACAGTAGCCAGGCAGGAGGGGTCCCAGGTCTGATGAATTTGTTGGCTCCCTTAGCACCCCTAAAATGGGTGGTCTGCAATTCAGGTGGGGGTTTGAGAACAGAGCAGGCTTGGAAATGGAAGGGACAGAGGAAGCAAACTGTTCTTTCCAAGGATATTTGCAGGGTAAGATAGCAGTCACCATGGACAAAGATCATCACACTTGCAGCAGTTTCGAAGGGACTCCAAGAGACAGGAGTGCTAGTGATAGAAATGTCAGGTCACACCAGATGGTTGGTAGACTGGTATGTGAATATGTTCACATTTAAAGGTCAGCAGCTACTTTGATTCCCCAGAATGGATGTTGATGATCATAACATTTATTGTGTAATTTACCCTAACTCTGGGCAAGAGCAGTTCAAATATGTGGAATATATGGAGCTAGTCTTCCTCTGAATGCTACTGCACAATACAAAGCAACAAATTGTATGGTTCTGTACTGACATTACTTTTCTAGTCCTCTGATTAATATTCTGTGAAAAGTAGTTATATTTTAAGCTTTCATAGCTGGTTGTATTAGCTTTTGTTGGAACCCAAAGATTCATGAAAACAGTCAGACAAAATTAACAAAGATTTGTCAGAGCTGACAAACATCCTGGATAGGGAGATACCCTACTATAGCTGTCTTAAAATAACTTTCCTATTTTGACATGTCTTCATCAGCAGTTTTCATGCAAATAATTCTCCAAATGTGCCTTCAATTAAGATATGCACATAGATTTACATGGAGTTAAGAAGACACAAATGAGACTGTTCATAAATTCAACCCTGGCTAAAATACTTAGCATTATAAACAGTGAGCATTTCATCATTTCAAACACGAAGTACTGGATTTGTGACTGCAGAGACTGTTTGATTTTTTTTGGAATCCAAATTATATGAAGTAGCATAAATACTACCTGAATTGTAAAGGCTTTAGTGCTGTCACAAGAAGAAAGCTTAATACATAGAACAATACATTACAACACGCTGTCTAAGATACAAATTCCATAGAGTATATCCTGAAATGGTGAACTTCCATGGAAAAAAAGAAAAAAGAAAAAAAAAAAAAAAGAACTTTAATCTTCTGCTTATTCATTTCAAACAGGAATCAGTGAAGAGCACAAACTGAAATTGAATCTCAAAGTCCAAATAATAACAATTCACTTTTCACTTATTTCCTGTGCAGATTCCGTAGAGCCAAAAAGGACTGACATTTTATTAATGGCATTAACTGAGCTAAGGGTTTAATCAGACTCTGATTTTTGTGAAAAAGAAAGAAGTCTAAAAATATGCAAAAGAAAAATACATTTTTTTTTCTCACTTCCAGTGCAGAAAAAATACTCAGGAAGTCTTGTATCAGATTCAGCGTTGCATTTCTTTGTATATCAGAAAAGTTATACTACTAGCTCAAGTTCCTGAACACAGCATTGTTTCTTACAAAAGCTGTAGCACAACTGAATTACAGTGGTGGCATTTTCTGTGAAGAAAAGTGAGACATTAAAAATCCACATATGTGTTGGGAAATGAAGTGGTTCAGCTGGACTCTTCTTTAAGAGCTGATGTTTTACTTGGATTTGTGATTTAACTGGTTGACATTACCATATCCCAGTAGAGGTCACCACATGTAAAAACAAGATTCACCAGCCTGTGTCATAATGCCCTCCTCTGGAACTGACTTCTGTGCTTTACCGAGACTTTGCCTACATGGTTATTAGGACTGTGTTTATTATTTCTAATGTAACAGCTTAAGTTTGGAGACATACATATGGCCCCTTTATAGATGACATGGACATTTACCACAACTCAGATACTATGTTAGCCAGTTGGAAAGCCATCCATGAGGTAGCAGCCCTTTGCAGAAAGACTGAGTGGTTATTTTTCCTAAAGCAGATTAATTCACAGAATCTTTATTGTAACCTTCTCTTTATGAAAACAATGAGATGACAGATACCAATATGGTGCCAAACCCCACCAGCATTAAGGATCCATAAAATTCCACTTCTTTTTTTTCCCATCCTTCTCAAACTTTGATGATTCAGGTTAAAATTTTTAACAAGGAATTGCTCTGCCTGTGTCCCTGGAGCCATGCAAAGCAGACACACTCCACTCTCTACCCATCAAGACTTGTGTAAAAGTCTACTGCTGGGCTCCCATCATGTATTTGAGCTGTGGATGTTGATGTCCTAGGTTGACCACCTTGCTCCTGTTCCTCATTCAAGTACAGGTCTCAGCTGGTACCCAGTGATGAACCCCCTAGCAGAGACCCCAGCTTAAAGGAATGGTAGCTTCTCTGCTCTTCTCTGCTCCTCCTGCTCTGGGCTCGGGGCTGTCAGCACAGCTGAAGACAGCAGAGTATATCCATGTTGTACTTTGAGCTGTGTTTGTGACTCATCCCCCAGTGTGGAGTCTATCAGGAGTTACAGCATGAGCTTAGAAATAAATAAATATACAAATACATACATTTCTAGTCAGTGGCTCAGGTTTAGAGGGGAAAAAAAACATGCATACATATACACACACAAAAGCAAAGGTAGGTTGCTCTATCTACTTGTCCGTCTTCAAGGATCTCAGCATTGCAGAATATCTAGTCATGCTACCTAATATCAGTGCAAAACATTATGCACAGCCTCCCATTCCTGTTACAGGCAAACCAGACCAATTTCAGTGCTATTTGCATCACACAGATGGATCGGCTTGCTCAGTTTAGCTTTTGCACTAGTAAAGAAAACTGAATCATAATGCTCTGGCTGGCACTGCCCTGCCTAAATGCAGAAAAGGGACTGATCCTAGACACAAGTTATCTTATGTCAGCTAGGAATTTCAGGTGTCTAGCACCACACATATCAGGTAGTTGAGGTTCCAGGATGCAGGGCTGGAGTCAGGAGGTGTCATTTCTTTAGGTGCAGACTGCCAGTGATATCAGAACAGAGAAGTGGTATTTCTCCATTTTTTTCACTGTTAGAGCTCAGGGACTTACCCTAAGACACAGATGCTATCCATCTGTTAAAAACAATAAAACAAACAAAAAAACTTTGATTTTCTTAAATATAAGCTGAAGTCTCCTGTCTACTTGGACTGCATTTTCAGTCTATATCTTTACTGCCAATAGCACAGACAGTCAGGTATCAAAAGAAGACAACTGCCAAGCAACCTGCCTTTTCTGAACAGTCATCCTGTCAATTGCTGTTTCTTAAGTCTAGAGTGGTTGCTTAGAGACTTTTGTAGCATTTGATGCAGCAATGGCAAAATATCTGTATTATGCTCTGATTGTATTTGGAAATTATGAAGAAATTAAATATATGATGATCTCATTTTCCCACTTCTATCAATTTCATATTCTAGTTTATTACAAAAAGAGAGAGCTAAAGTCAAGCATTAGTAGTTCCCTTTGTGCAAGGAGATTAGGAATTCTTTGCAGCAGACATATTCCATGTGGCTGCTATCCTTGTATTCTCCTCTTTCTGAGAATCAACAGAATGAGCTGGGTAAAAATAACTATTACCACACCAATTCAGACTGATCAACCCACCTACACACTAATTTGCTGGAGCACACACAAATCGGTCTCCTTTGTGTTAAAATTCTTCAAAATCATCCCTGGTGCCTTCTTTCTCTATTTTCCTTATTTCTTTTTCAAACTGCATGTTTTAATTTTGTTTTCCCAGTCAAGTTCATTACTTACACCAAGCACACTGTAGCTGGTATCAAAAAGGTTGCAGACAGGTTTTCATTTTCACTTGCTCGTAATTCCTAAACTCCCTCCAATTGGGATGAAATGTTCTGTGCTTGATCTCTGCCTTTGACTTCACCTTCTGTGAAGACAAAATAATGTCAAAGATGTTTAACTTGAATGTCTGGAACTTAAAAGAACAAAACCAAACTTCACTGTTTCCCAAGGTTGCAGTGCTTAATCATACAATACATAAACATTATTGCTCTTCCAGTGAAATACTCATGGGAAAAATGTAGTTGTGTGCTCTTTATCAGATTTGAATCTTATCTCTGAACAATTTGATGGAACATTTTGATTAACATCTTAATGATAGCATTTCTGCTGAGAGGCTACTAATATGTAACTAGAACCAGCCATCTTGTTCTGCTAGAGCTCTGTGTGTGCATTTGTCCTTGATTTTTTTTTTTTTTTATTTTAGCACCATCTGGATCCATGTCATCTATGCTGGAATTAAAAAAAAAAATCTCAAATCCTGTTAGCAACACGTCTCCCTCTTCATCTGTGATTGCTTTTTTTTCATACATATCATGTTGTGAACACCAGAGCTTGGCTGCAGCTTTCACTCATGTAAATGATGTTTGCTCATTCAGAACAGAGAGTGATGAGTTACACAAAATAACGTCAGGACTTCAGCTTAGTTTGTTAAGCAAGCTGTTAGTTTATTAAGCCTGGTAGTTATTACGTTGTTTGGTAAACTTCAGTTTATTAATTGTGGTAAGAGTTTCTGTTGCCACTTGGAAAAGTCAGGCTGCTACTTTTACGCCTTCTTCCCTAGCAAAGATTTGTCTGGGTAAGGCGGAATTAAGGAGAGGAGCAGAAAATGAGTGTATCTATTACCTCAGCTGGGTAAAGGGTCATCTCTGCAGGCACTTCTGACAACTGCAGGTTTGCCTTGGCCGAAAGAATAGTGATCATGCTTAAGGTTTGGCATCTGTGATTGCATGGATGTGGAAAAAGAAAAGCCACTGGGAAAAGAAAATATGATTTTTCTTAAGTGAAAAAGAGAGAGACAGAGAAAGAGAGACAGACATTGAGAAAGAGAGAGAGAGAGAGGATAAAATTAAGATAGCAACCCACCACTGTGGGTCACTGCATGGTAGTTTATGGGCCACTTCTCCCAAGCAGATGCTGTCTTGCACTGTGGAGCACAAACAGTTCCTGCTACTCAGGAGCCTGCTGGTTTGCTCCCCTTTCCATAAGTTCCCACCTCACAGCAATTGACACTATGCACCTCCATTTTAAACCCATTTCCATTAGCTTCTAGCAAAGCACACCTCTCAGGCTTGCAGGCACCATGGCTCAAAGGCTGCACTGGCACAAGCATCACAAAAACATATTTCATCGTTGGAAGCTGCAAGACTGAAGAAAAACTTGGAAGCCTAACACCTTCCAAGGCCTCTGCTGAGGAGAAAGCCAGTGGTGGCACCCTGTGCTGCCAGCTCTGCTGGCCTTGAGAAGCACCCTTTCCTCCGCAGGCTGCTGCAGGGGCAGATATAAATATTTGTCCTCTGTGGGAGGAAAGCCACCATCCCGCTCCTACTCCCCCTTGCCAGACCCTGAGCTGTCTGCCTTTCTTGGCTGTGTCCCTGAGTGGTCACACAGGCAGCCCTGCGTGGGTTGGCATCAGCCCTCCTGTGCTGCCCACAGCCCTGCCCACAACAGGCAGGCAGAGCACCAGCGTGCAGCCGCCTTCCCCCTGAGAATGGAGCCTGAACTTTGGAACAGATTTGAATTTCTGAGAAATACAAATTGCCACAGACGCGTTCATTTTGAATGCAGTCCCAGCAACCTCAAAGGTACTTCTGAACTGAGCTGTGGGGGAAGGAGGAACAGAGGTTTACTTACCTTTTTTTCCCTCAAGGTGATCGGGATGAGCACAAGAATAGCTTTGAATACATGAGCAGGCTGGGATTCAGATGAGCAAGATCCAGACCTTTGTGCTAGCAGAGCTGTATAAATGCCTTCATTTAACTACAGTCCTGCCCTGGTGCCCAGACGTGGTGGTGCCACTTACTTTTCTAAGTGCATGTCAGATCACTCTCAGACTGGCTGTGGATGGGCTTGCACATTTGCTTTTTGTCTTGCTTCCCACAGCATCTCAGTGATCTGGTAGAATAGGGCTGGGCTAAAAATGACATTTTTTTTTTGCTCCATTCCACAGCTATTCTTTGGCTGTAAAATCCTTTCATCTTCCTTAATAGGGTGGCACTGGGACTATTTCAAGGCGTTGAAATAATACCAAACAAAATACCAATAATACCAACAAAATACCAAGGACACGCTGCCAGAGAATAGCCAACAAGTTTAGCATCCAGGTCTGGTCTGGTGACATCTGAGG